AATATGTACAATATTAACCACCTTTCTACTGAGCAGAGATGAAGCATGTAATGTCAATATGGCTCGGAGGGAGCTCTTCTGTGTCATTTCATTATGCACAGCTGCTTCAGAGTCATGGACCATAAAAAGTTCTTACTATTCAAAGCCCAGTTTTTTCTGATCTCAAAAACCAACATAGTTGAACAAAACATTGCCAGACATACCACTGTATCCTTCAATACTTGTTCTCAGACTCGGGGTGGTTAAAGCCAAGGTAATTTGGTTTCAGTACTGCAGTCTATGTTTGAGGGTGTTTTCTCCCTGTTTCAACATCTTTACTCACTGCAAACCCTGATGTTTAGGTCTCCCCTCATGATGGCTGTAATGTCCAAGCTGTCCTCTTTAGGTTGGCTTGCTTATTGTGGTTTTCTCTGTCCGTGTTAGAAATACTCAAAACTTAAATGTGGATGTATAACAAGACTTTCCCTCTCTCTACAACATTGTGGTTTCCATTCTTGGGCTTCTTCCAAAAAAAAAAAAAAAGGTTAATTTTGTCTAATTCAGCATATCTGAATATTTTATCACTTTTATTAGAGCCTATGAGTCAGTTAGGGAGGGGAATTTTAATGCAATTGCTGACTGATTATCTCATGTTCTGTGGGATCACATTGGACAACAATTTTGGATAATTCTTGGATTGAGTGTTACTTCCCTCAGCACTTATGACTACTCAGTTTCTTGAATTGCAGACTTTGCACTATTACCTATGACTCTTCGTCATCTCACTGTAGGAAAGCCTACATTTTAGTTTTGAACAAATGTTTGTGTTACTCTGATAACTGATTGAGAATTCTTGAGAGACTACAAGGTACGGTTGGTTGTTTTCTATCATTTTGTTTTGTGTCAGATGTGTACAGTTTTAGTGTGAGCAAGAGACAATGAGATACAGGAGAGTCTACAAGCTTGAAGATCAATTGTTTAAAATCCTGGTGATCATAAGAATTATTTTTATTGTTAAGTCAAGAATTAAGTGTCTGCGTCATATGTCAAGTTGGGATGGATACCAGGCCTATACTGATCGGTTATATGCAAGCAAATCCTTGAAAACATACTGCTATTGTTTCTTATGAAACTTAGTGGATTCAGGTACAATCTAATAGTTTTAAAAAAATCTCATGTTAAGTCAGACAATCAATCTAGTCCAGGGTTCTCAAACACTGGCTCTCCATATATTGTTGAACTACAAGTCCCATGATTCTTTGAATGAATTAGATAGCCAGAGAATCATGGGACTTGTATTTCAACAACATCTGAAAGGCCAGAGAACCCTGCTCTCGACAAACAATGGCAGTAGAATGACCTATACTGCAGACTTCAATGACCCTCAATATAGCACTGTTTTAGAGTGGCACTTTTGAACAAATCAGTTGATCAGATTCTTGCTCTGCTAGAGGTGTCCTGGGTTTCTGTAATTCTGAAATGGAGGTGTCTACAGTTTTAAAAATTCTAAAGTCATAGACCACCAAGTTAGCAAATCAGGACTAGTGCTGAATCATATACAATTATATGAGCAATATATTTGAAATAGGTTTACATGGTCAAGAAGAAGTACATAAGAACACAATCATCACAGACAACATCAACTTTGGACTATTACATATTTTGACCCAGTCATATTTCTGTAAAGGTTGAACTTCTAATAATGAAAAGCTAGAAATGCATTAATTCATCTCTTTTTTTTTTTAGAAATCCCTGAACAGCAATCTTTTCTAAATATTCCGACATTTTAATCCTACATGTATATGTTAGCTATGCCTCTCCATTTTTAATAAATGCCATGATATTTTTTTTAAATGTTAACTTGGAAGAGATTACAGCCAGTAATATCAGTAGCACTTACTTAACAATATTATAATTCAGCATATTGTTTGGAGAGTAGTATTGAATTAAACCAAGTGTGAATTTTGGTTCTCTATAAATCTAACGTGGGTAAGGAAATAATTTAATAATCTAGGGATGTGTCCTGGCTCAGAGAGGGGAAACTCCAGCTCAAGTTCACTAGTCCAAACACCTTACTAAATACATTAATTCTGTGTTTGTATATGTAGATAAATATGTGTGTATATATGTATACATATACATACATACAGACATAGTTGAATTTTAAAAATGAAATTCTGATGTACTGTTACTACACAGGAAACACACAGCACATTACCAGTGAATGCTAGAAACTAAAACTGAATGTTCCATGGGAGGATTTTGATATGCAGTTCTCTGGGGGGGACAGAAAGTTCTGTGTAAAAATAGATTCACAGAGAAGCAAAGGGAGAGTAGTATAGTACTAAACAAAATATTAAAGAAAGAATTGCAAAAAACAGCTGGCCGCACCTTAAAGAAGAAGCAGAGTTTACCAGCAACACATGATAAAAATAAAGATACGTATGATTTTTTTCCCCCTTAGCTCAGAGTGCACGCTGATTCTAAAAGCAAGTGGCTAACTAGGAGATCCCATTGATTATATGATATTGATTATTTGTGATCCCACAGATTACATGCACTGTGCATGTTACAAATAATAGTCTGCCCATGTTTTAATTCAAATATCAGAGATAGCAGAAGCTTTTGATTGTAACATTTCAATATTTCACAAGAAACAAAAAAACTACTTTGAGAACTGTCATGTAGATAAATAAGACTTTTAGATCATATAGACTTAGTCAGTGTAGGATACTTGTCAAAGGGGCACTCTAAATCCCCAAAGCAGAGGTTTATGGGTTACCCGAGTGCCTCCTCCTTGTCACTTTTTGTAAAAAACTTTTTTATAAACTGACAAGGTTGCACCCTCCAAGTCGTCAATAAGTCATAAAGCTGATGTGTTTCCAGGACAATGCAGTGAATACCATGTATGCGCCATGAGAGATCATTTGTACTGAGCGGGACTGTAAGGTTAGGGACTGTTTCAATGCAGCTTTGGGTGGGGAAGGTGGGGTGCAGCAGATCCCAAATTTCCAGTGTTATGAATAGCTGTATTTGTTTATAAGTACATTTAGTAAATTTACTGGACTGTTCCTTTAACTGGCTAGCTACAGGGGGACAACAACCCTAAGATTCTTTAGCCCTGTTCTCTCACAGACTTAAATCTGTTACCCACGTGCCCTAAATCCAAGGTTAGAAATGGTGGAGATATATCAATACAGCATAGGAATATTCACAGCTATTTTTATATTTGTAATAATGAGACAATATTTTATAGCTTGTTAAAAAAAAAACACAAAGTGTGCTTTATAATGCATGCTTTGGTAGAATCCAGTAACTATGAGCGTGTGGACTGAAGCAACATGTCTACAGTTAAATTGCTCACTTCAAATTCTTCTCTGAGATGGCTTGTGAAAAGTCACGTCGGTGAGTTAAGTAACTGTGATCATTGATTCCAAATGTGAAAAATAGGCACATGTTCTGGATGCTGGACCACCAAAATAAAGAAATAAATAAGCGATCTAATTTATAGTATAAGGCATACAAATGTTCTAATATGTTTTTAACGTATAGGCCACACTTAATTGAAATAATATATTCTGTACAATAAAATTCAGTCAAAGCATGATTTCACCTCTTCCCCCGCTCAATGAGTGATGGTGACGGGGTCAATGATACCTGAAACCCAATTTCTCCTGCCACTCACTCCGTTCTGGCATACAGTAGATAAATGTGATTAATCAAGCTCAGGTTCTGTCTCACTCATCTGCAAAAAAATAAATTAAAAAAATTATTTATTTTATAATTTTAAACTGTTTGCCGAAGGCAGCCTAATGTTGCCAGTATGTCCCTTTTCAGTCTGCCTTTTTTTATTCCATAGCTCTAAGAGCATGCTTGATGGTAATTGGCTGTTAAGAAGTTCTCGTTAATAGCTGCCTCTGATAAGCCAACAGTCAAGGAGCACATCATAATTGCTAAGCAGCACACTGAGTGATTACATAGATCAAGTCAGCAAATTATTTGAATGGCTCTGATCCCTATTTTTTTTTTTTTTTTTCATATTAGGCTGTTAATGAACAGCTGTACTTCTAGTACTGGATGACATGAATCGGCCATGTTGAACTGACTTTTTGGCAACGTTCTTCAAAGTCTGATGAGAAGTTGGACATTCGTGAACAGATCTCCTGCATATTGGCTGCATTAGTAAAGAATGAGACATTGTAGACTACACAAAAGCTGTTTGCGTTTGACAGGCTGCTTTTGTTCTTCAGTGATAAATATCTTATTATCAAGCACCTATTAGAATTGATAAAGTAGTATTTATTTGACATCATGAAAAAAAAGTAACAAACATTAAAGCACAGAGCAGCTGTGATCTGGCAAACGTATAAAAGCACAGGTGTCAATTTACTTGAGAGAAATCATATGTTTCCTATTTTGCAAGAGGATGTTACATCTTCCTAATAGCACAACTAAGTGAATCTCAGTACTTCTGCAATTTCAAAATATACAGTAAAATAGCTTTCTTTAGGATAATTGGCAAGAGGCGTCTTCACAGGTTCCCCCGAGTCGTCATTTAATTTTCCACTCTGCCTGCTCATTCCTATGTGTGCGTTAGGTGACAGCTATCGTCTGCCTAAATCAATGTTTATAAAAACATTAGCCCTGGACTAGCTGTGTATACTTAAACTGCATAGGCCATATAAACATGTTATATAGAGCACTGCTTCAAATTAGTTTTGCTGCATGTGATATTTCAAATCATTGCCTTTGTTCAAGCAAGGAGTTTAATTAGAGAAATTTGTCATTGTACAAGGTAACACAAACTTAACTTTGCATTAATTTTCATAAACAATTTTTTTTTTTTTTTATTGTGTTTTGCAAATATAATGCAATGTTGCAGACGCAAACTGTAAAGATCTGTAACTGCTAAAGTTTTGGAGAAAGTTTGTGGTCAGTATACTGTGTTGCTAAGCCAGCCCCCAGCTCACATTACACACTATTTATATCCTCTCTTAGCAGTTTCCCCCTTAAAGCAGTTCCTTGGGACCACCTTCTGTTGGCTTTAACCTCTCCTACTCTTGACATCTGAGTAGCTCTCAAAAAGCTCATCTTGGTCAGAGTACGCTGCTCGAGCAAAGGAGACTGGCCACCAGGCTGAAGACCTGGATTATCTGATCTGTACTGAACGTGTGTCGTTACTGTTTGGGAAAAATATCAATTTACAGTGAAAAGTGACAGCCTTGTGGAGTTTAATCCTTGCTAACTCTCCAGCCTGCAACTTGAAACTTGCATGCCATGGAACACACACTATTTGGCTGCCTGCGCAGCCCCCATGCCACTTCTCAGGGCCTGCATCCCTTTACCCAATCTTCAATTTCCCTTCATGGAAGATCTGACCATATGTCCTATCCTGATCTGTCTTCGTCTTCGCCCTCGTGCATAATCGCTGGCTATCCAAATGAAGAGGGCATGTTTGGTAACCAACATCACAGAGGGCACCATCATCACCATCATCATCACCATCATCACCAGCAGCAGCACCAGAACTTGCAATCTAACTGGCACATTCCTCAGATGTCCTCTTCTCCTGCCTCTGCCAGGCATAGTCTTTGCTTACAGCAGGAATCGGGACCTCCAGATCTAGGAAACAGCCCCCCTATTTTGTGTTCAAACACATCAAGTCTGGGCACTAACAACTCTCCTGGTGCAGCGTGTGTGACGGGGGACTATGGCAGGCAGACCCTGTCCCCTGCTGACACAGAGAAGAGGAGCGGAAAAAGAAAAAGTGACAGTTCAGGTAAGGCTTATCTGCAGCAGATTGTCAATAGAACTCTGCACTTGTATGTTTAACTTTAAGCTGTGCTGACTTCTATAGGGCTGTCAGTCTAGCAGACTGTATAAGTGTCTTTCTCAGATATAATCACAAACCTATCTAAGCATCTTACAGCACCGCTAGTATTTAATTGTAGCAACATTTTGTCAGTCACAAATCTTTAGTGCAAAGTGAGTTAATACTGTAGCCTGATCATATAAAGCTGTTTAACCCTTTAAGCACCATAGTTGTGTGAAAGGCATATGACTTGTTAAATAGCATTTAAAGGGGCAGGGATATTTATCCAGTACATTTTATATTTATTTATTTATTACTGGCATTTATAAAGCGCCAACATATTCCGCAGCGCTGTTCAATGGGGAAAGACAACACAATAAGAACAGACCAATACTAAAGTTAGAGGGCCCTGCCCGTGAGCTTACAATCTAAAGGTATTTAATTGCACCATCTATTTTACTGCATGTTTCTGCTTCTAATGATTCTCACATTTTAAGACACACATGTGAAAGTGACACATCATTTTGGTTTAAGTATGTAGCATTTGTTTTTAAAGTACAGTCAGTCCTTGTCACAAAAGTTAAATCACACTTTGTGCACCATAAATGCTTTACAAATAATAAATATATATTATATCACACTCATTTATGAAATATGTACGTTTCTCACACCTAGTCTTATTTTGGAAAAGTATATAACTTTAACAATGTGCAGCGTATCTTAATCACATTGCTTGGAGATAAAGTGGTTCACGGAAGTGAATATATAAAGATTTCTGTTAAATTCATTTCTGATTGTGTCACTCTCATTTAACCCTTCCGGTCCCAGAAGCTGTGAGTTTCTCAATCCTACAGCATAGAAATATTGCAACACATTGCAAAAGTATGTTTTATATAAAAAGGGGGCTTGGTGAGAGATAATTAATATTTGCTAGATACAGGGCTTGATTTATGTTTAATTTATAAGGGTAGGAAATATACACATACCTTAAAAATGGATAGCATTAGCGATGATGCTTAGTAGTCAGTCACCAAATACTGATGCACCATAAATACATTTAGCACCTCATGTTTACAAAAAGACACAATTAATTTTATTTGAAAATTTTTAATTATTAGTATAGTAACATGAATTGTTGCAGCAGATAAAAAAGAAATTGGCCATTAAATTTACTTATTGTTAATAGCATTTATTAAATTTTGTCTAAAGGATAACTTTAAGGACCCAGGCATTTCTGAATGACTTTAATGAGCCTTCACTTCTTCTACTGGAAGGCTATTGCATGTATCTACTACCCTTTTTGTAAAAAAGCATTTTCCCACCTGTGGCTTCCACTAGCCAGCTTGCAAACATGTGTAGCTGTGCTGGTACTTCCAGCTGATATATTTTTTCACCTCTCAAATATAATTCAACTTTTGAATGATTTATTACATTGTACAATTCTACTTTAAACAGAATCCCCAAAACAGTATAGTGCTTTATGTTCTTATTCTTAACATCCACACTCTTATACAGAATGTGCAAAGTGGTTACGTTGTGACATGTAAATACAAGAAGTGAAAATGCAAACGAGATGTGATAATTATATTATCAAACCTTTCAAGTATTACATGAATGAGTGATGCTTGGAGGTATAGAAAGACTCAGAGGAAAGATTTCAGAGAGATGTTAGTGACAGATTTTCTTAAATTCTAAAAACTCACTATTATAGAGATGCTTATGTACCATTATCAACGTAGGGCATGTAGGCCAAAATATAAAATCTGATTTAAAAAAATAATTTATCAAAGCTGAAGAATTTTTTTCTAACTTGACTATTGTGTTCTTAATTATGTAAGCTTGCTGCCAGCTCACTGTTTAGTAAACAGCCACAGTGAGCCACTAGAGGGTTTAATATAGGATATCAGTAAGAGGCGGAGAGATTAAACTGCAGACTTAACAACTGATAACGCCTTAGTACATCTCCCACCCTATGTCTCAAACCACTGTGTAACTCAAAGAGTTAGTTAAGCAAGCTGTTGATGATGTAAGAAGACCACATGTGTGAATCCGGGATTCTTCCTATAGTTTAAGCTTATCCAAGCCATTTGTCTTCTAATGAAAATATGCTGTTGATGATTATGATAAATTATCAGCAAATGGCTTTGACAAGTGAGTGACATATTAGACACATACAATGGATTTTCAAATGGTTTTTGTTTTCTTTTGACGACCTTTTTAATTAGCAACTTTATGTTGTTATTTATGACACCTTAAACAGCCTTGAGATTATTTGCAATGTTCAAGGGATTTGCTTATGTTGCCTTCAAAGCAGAATAACCAGATTTACCCTCTAACCAGGAATGCAATAAAAAATGCATCACGCAGGGCAAGAGTCATTTTATTGCAGCATTATATCGCATGTATTCCACACTCATTCCTGTTTGGAAGTGATGACCCGCTTTAAGAATCATCCAATCATTTAAGAGTCACCCAATGTCTATTGCTATATTTATGTAAAACTCCAGGAAATTAATTGCAAAGAAGTATATGCATTATACACGCAGATTTTATTTTTTAAAGTATATATATATATATATATATATATATTACTATCTAGTGACTAGATTGGAAAATAGTTATACAGACAATTTAAACATACTTTCATCTGTATAAGGTTAGATAAGTTACCAGACATGTATGTTCAAGCTGTTTTTGCTTTTAAATTTCATAAAATTAGAGCAGAATGCTATATGCAAGAGACATTTTATATAGCTATGTAATTGCAATTCGTAGTTCATAAGGATAGGTGTGTACTAGAAGTAATTTAATTAATTCACAATACATTATTAAGCATTTTAAGGTGACTAAACGGATCTATTACTAAACAGCATACCGAGAACGGATTTGCAAACATTTAGGCCAAAATGACTACGGAAACATCAGAGCTAGAAATATTTTCTTACATCTGCTATTTGAACAATAATTAGTTCTCTTCTCTTTACAATTTGTCTATAGACATAATTCCGCACACATATTTTTATTTTCTGGGAGTCCTTTTTCTAAACATTGAGTTGTGGAGTGTTGACAACTTGCTTTTTAAGCCACGAGAGCAGATTCGGAAAAAAACAATCTCTCACGTGACAGATATTTTTTTTTCAGTCTTTGCTATTTTCCTATATATTTTCCTATATATTTTGCAGGTCAGTTCCTAAGTCACCACAACTTGCTGCTGCGTGAATCGATCCCAACGAGCAGCAAATAGATTCTTTAAAGTCCCTATGGCCTACTGTGCAGACGCAATTGATTGTCATGAAAGAATAAGGGGTGTATTAATGGGATTTATGATGTACTTCAAGCGAATTGCAATTTTTAGGCTAAATAGCTGAGCTAAAAAATGAACTAGAGTTAGAGATTTTTTTTCCAGTTCAGCTACTTTGATATAAAAAATGCAGACCCACCTGTAAAGTCTCCCCATTTTCCAGTTCAGTAAATAAGCCAATGAGCATTCTGTAGAACTCTATTTGGATTGGAAACTTTTTACAGAAGTGAGTCACTCCGACAAACCAAGAAGGAGCAATAATGAGGACTTATTGGTACGTTTCTATCAGACAGTGATTCCATCTTCTGTTCACTCTCTGTTAGCTGCACATCAACAGATTCAAACCTGACACAGTTATTCACTAAAGTGGGAATACAAAGAGAATTTCAAATTTAAGGCCAAAGTAGCCAAACCAGAAGCATAGCTGTCTTAGAGAATGTTTCTAGTTTTGCTGTTTTTACCTTGAATTTGAAATTCATTTGGAATTCTCACTCTAGTGAAATATCCTGTGTAATATGATTGGACAAACATAATTTATACATACACACGCCATTTACTAATATGACTAGCAATGTGAAAGCTATCTATGTATGCCATGTCACTAGCAGTTGTCCATATCAATAGTTGTGCTAATCTTTTTTCAGAGTTACTATGTATACAGTATTCGTAAAGTCCCATACACCATTTATTGCAACTTACATGCGTACATTTTTTTAATTCGCTGTTAGATCAATTAGAGCCGGATGGTTGAAAATATTTTTTAATCAATTAAAACAGGTTCGTACACTTTAAATGATTGACTGTTCTATTACATTAAAACACCTTCAGTGAAATATTAACAATAATATTCCATTGATCAATAGATGTAAAATGGGAATTAATAAAACATATCATGTTAAATTAAAATAGGTAAATGTCAATTACGTTACCTGCCAAATTTTTTATTTCAAAGTTCACAACTTTACAATGAGTAAATATTCACTTCAATATATAATTATAATGATCACAAGTCTGACCATAGTTGTAAAATATTATACATTAGATAATTAGTGTAATATTGTAATATTAAACTTTTCATTCGAAGAGTATATCATCACGAGGATCTAGCTATATAAATGATACTTGCGACATTGAGAAATTAATTCAGAAATTCAACATATTGAATATATTCATTCTTTACATTCTTGTGCTGCATCCTCTGGATCTTAGACAGTTAACCAAACCAAAGAGAAACAATATCAATCTTTGTTTAAAGTCGAGTCTGTTTAAACAATCATGTAATAATAGATTTATGACAGGGGAAGAAATAATAGAAATTTTAACATACATGTCAGGTGCAGATATACAGATATATGAGCTAGGTATAAAAGGGCAGAGTGAAAAAGTCCATCTTTTATAATTTTCTTTTAAAGGTTATGAAAATTCAATTTATTTGTAACATTTAAAAATAATTCTAACATTTTATGTGAAGTCATGTAGTAAAAAAAAGAATAATCAAATTAAAGACATCACATTAACGCAATAAAAATTGTTAAAAAAGATGTAAAAACAGAAAAGTGAACTGATTTTCTGAATATTATATATATATATATTATCTATTTCACCATAGACAGGGCAAAGTGTATAGGATGCTTGCACGCACCTACCCTATTTTATAATCTTCTTCAAAGCCCCATAATGACCATTTTTTAAATTTGGTAGATATGAAAAATAATTTTGCATAGATTGAACATCATATCTATAATAAGAAATACCATATTTTTAGAGTTTAACATTATAATAATTATAATAAGAATAAGAATAATAAACACCTTTTATTAGTTATTGCCATGCACTTTAAATAATGATCTGCTATCATGAATAAAATTATTGCATTTAAACAATTAAAATGTAAACAAAACAAGGAAAAGACAATAACAGAAGTTTAATTCCTTGATACAAAACATTATTAGTATAGTTTATTTTTATAGAGCACACATTTTTATTTTCTGTACAAGATAAGAAAAAAAATTGTGTCACTTTCGTAAAATTAGCTTTTGAAAGGCAAAAGTGATCACTTTATGATAATTTTTAACATAGATTTCAGTTTTATATTTTAAAATAAAACAACAAAACATTTATAGTTAATATGTGCTTCAAAGTTCAACATCAGTCACTTTAAATTTATATAAATTACATGGTCATGATTCAGGACTTAAACATTAACAAAATAAGAGTTCACTTTAATAATTTGGGGGGATTAGCTATAACAAGTTTATTTTTAACTTGTGTTAAATATTTTACAAGCTATATTTGATCTAATTATACATTATATACTTGGATTTAAAAAGAAAATGTTTCTAAAACATATGCATATCTAAAATTTTAATATTTTAGGAAATGTTATATTTTAAATAGCAAATATGTACATTTATTTTGTCATATCTACTAATATTTATTTTATCCATAAATGTGAGAATGATATAAGAAATTAAAAAAGCAAGATTTCTGTGTAAAAAAACTTTCATAATTGTATACTTTTATCTCTCTTATATTATCGGAAAAATAAAAGTAAACATAAATTGTTATTCAGTAAAGGATGTAACTTTATTTCTAAATTAATTATAATAAGACCATAGGTATCCCTATATTTTTATATTACATATTGTTGAAATGGTGTTTTTTGTGATTGTCATTGTAAAAATAGTATAAATTTAGAGCCATTGTTAAACATTTTTCATCCTTTCTACTAAGCTCTGTCTATAAATATGTATATCTACAGATAAGGGATGTTTTGTAAACTGTTTTTGAGGCACACTATAGGAAATAAATTGACAATTAGAATTTAAACCTAATGGATAATTATGTTGTTAGATCCTAAAGTGTTAAAGTGTTTTAAATTTGTAATGGTCCAATCAGAGGCACATTATTACTCACTTAATCTCCTTCCTCAGGTCACTTCAAAGAGAGAATCTTCACAGTTACGCATTTGTCTTTTAATGTTTTATTAGCAGTTTGTTAATTGTTGTTTTTCACGCCAGTTGTATGCAAGAACACAGAGGTTGAGGTATTTATACCTAATCAGTCAAAAGACAATTGACCATTTGGGACTTCAAACCTTTACAAACAGTATTTCCTAAAAAAAAAAGAAACACATACTGGATTATTGAACTGCAGTCAAAGTGCTTCATGATATTATTAATTTAGACATTTGTACTCCATAACTCAAGCTTTGGGAATTCATGTTGTTGTGCAAATATTTTGACATAGCAAGCAGCTGGAATAATGGTGCTAATTTAATATGAGTGTCTACAAAAAACATATGGTAAATAGACAGAGTAAATTGCATTGAATAGGCACTGTCTGTGTGAATAGTGTCTGTTTATTTTAAAAGCTATGATACAGGAAAATGATCATTGAGACACAAGTATAACATTAGCAAGGACGTGTGCTGTGCATTCTTTGAATTTTTGCAGCACTAATAGACAGGCAAATGCAAATTTGATTAATCAAAGTATCATTAACTTTCACATAGAGTATCTTGTGGATTTTCTACAAGTAAAATTTTTTTTTTTTAATCTGATTTGTTTAAACGCTTGTCTACTGTCATATCAGGCAGGGCACACATAGGGCACTAATTACCCTATATTTAAAATTACTCTTGATATCCATTCAGAGCTGTACAACATGCTGGGAGTAATATAAATTATAAGAGAGGAATGTGATCATCTGAAAAAAGATTAGGAAAATGTAGGCCAAAAAAACAGAAGAGTAAAAAACTACAGTCAAAAGATCATCATTCTACTCATTTTAAACTTTTGCAAGTTATTTCTGCATGCATTCAAACTTGCATTTTTGAAGGGCTAGACCTCTAAAAATGATATCTATTTTGATTAATACAAAAACATTTTCTTCAGAAATATTTTAAAGTTGATCTATGAAAGTATTTAATTTCTATCATAAGATGTAAGTTTTGTTAGGGTATGTTTGTCAACTCAGGCTGGTTAAAGATGCAAAGTAGTCTTTTATATAAAAAAAAAAAAAAAAAAATTAAATGTAAAAATTAAATAATTTTATTTTCTTAAATAAATAGTACAATGTTGAAATAAAATTCCAATATAGAATTGAAAGTCGCTTTCCATGAAACAAAACCAGGTGGAAACAGTTGATCCATACTGTATAATCAGAAAAGAAACTTGAAAACTGTGTTTTATTTGATATATATAATGTCATTACTTTGTCACAGAAAAGTTTTAACCTTTGATAAAGATGGCTTACAGAAGTATGGAACATTATTGATGTTTTTAACTTGGGATTGTTGAGCTGTCGTGGAAACCAGCACCCATTATTCTTTGATTGCTACAGACTGGCAGAGGATTATGGGAGTTGTAGTTTGACAGCAGCAAGAAGGCCTGATTTTAACACCGTCATGATATAATTTAGCAGAGACCCTTAGATCTCCTATATTGCTATGCCAATGTCTGGGCATAAACCTGCACAGATTTCTGTCAATGTTTCCCTTGTAGTTCAGAGCTTTCTAAAACGTTTGAGTAAGCTTAGTGGGATGAATATTATGTTATAAACTGGTACCTTCAGTGCTAGTGTTCAGACTGTAAATACCACATAGGTATATTCGTCCCACAATACGTCAGTTACTATAGCTCCACATATCCTCTGTTATGTCAGTCACTCCCTCACGGCATCCAAAATCTCTCTTTTCTGCCCTAGTGTTTTCATGAGAATATTCAGAAAATGTCAGAATATATGGTATGTATTAGGGCATCACAGAGATCCACAGTAATACATTTCTTACTAATGTTTAAACTGGCAGGGCCATATTACCAAAAGGTAACTTTTAATATCTTTTCACATGTATTGTTTTAATTCCTGTGGCCATTAAATGTCTTTCACTTTGGCATCGACTGTTAATTGAGTACAAGAATAGGGGACCCCTAATTTAGTACCCTGCCCAGAGTCTGCCATAATCCATTTCAACAACACAATTCACTGTTTTTTTTAACAGACCAATACATATGCAATGGACATACTTTTAGCCACTCTCCCTTAAACAGACATGCTCCTCTTAATCCTTTGAAATATTAGGATGTATTCAGATAAACAGGGGTATATATCACTATTATAAATACTGGGGGTCCTCGTAATAGATTTGTAGAGGGTATATATATATATATGTATATATATATCATATCTCTTTATCATTAAATCAGTAATATGTGACAAATCAGCAAGCAAGCTGCACATGATAGGCTATACACTATCCAACTACTTTTCTAATTCATCTATGTTATCTTAAAATTCCCAATTTCTAGAGTAGACAGTTCTTCACCACTCACTGTTTTGTGCCTTAATTTCTAAGTTTAAATGAGCTGACACGTTTCTATAAGGTTATTGGGCAGATCAAATCATGTTCTAATTTCTGTATAATTTATTTTTGCATTGAACCACTTGATTAAAAGATTTTGAACACAATGTATTCTATAACCATACAAATCAAACTATAATCACAAAAAACATCATAATTTGAAAGAGGGCAACTTGTTCCAAAAAACTCCAACATTTACTGCTAACATTGAGTGTTGAAAATATGTCTACCCTTTTAATTTACAATTCCTTGTGCCCTCATCTGGCACTCAGAGATAAAGTATCTATTTCAAAGCAAAGGACCTGTTTTATAAAAATCTGAAATGTTGCTGACTAAAAGTTCTATAATTAATTCACCCACCGTTCTTTGTATCATGGTGCACAGATCCCACATAATATGTATTAACATTTAATCATAGGAGTCTAGTCAGTACATTTTGACCAGTCATTTTCCTTTTAAAGAAAAGTTTCTTGAAACTTTGTTTCTGCTTCATCTACTTTGATGTTAAATTAATAATTCCATGGTGAATTCACAAATATGTACTAGGAAGTAAATAATCTTCCCATGCTTGTAAAGTCCCTGTACATACTCCACCATCTTCACCGCCCGTGAAATAACAGGTTTTGTGACCTGTAAGTATTACTAGATCTGGCTGGGTAGATGGCAGTTATAGTTAACAGTAATCTGTGACTAGAAATTGTAACTGGCTGGCAGCTCCTTATGTAGCCTCCAACCATTAAATGATACCTACAATAGCATAAATTAATAGGGTATAACTAAGCATTGTGGGTGCATCTAATTTGTTTGCATAACCACTGAGGCAGTCATTTAGAGATGGTTGATTTGCTCTCATTTGATCTTCAGGTAACTATATATTTTAAGCTAATACTTCTCACCAGCCATTCGTGGAAGTGAAAATTTTTAATGGGGCACACCACAAATGTCATACAGTTCTTAGGATATTTGTGTGTACGACCATTAAAATGTGCTAAGTAGCACTTAAAGTAGCACTGTCACCTGAAACATAATTTTCATAAATCATAAGGAAAAAAATAGGGGATGGGGTTCATGAGTACTCAGATCATCTTGCACAGATCCTATTCAATTTTGGTTAGTCATTAAAGGGACAGTCTAAGCACCAGAAACAATAAAGCTAAATGATGTGGTTGTGCTGCAAATAGACTGTCCCTGCAGCCTCTCCTCTGTAAAAAAACTGTCATTTCTATAAAAAGGCATTGTTTACATTTCTCCTCGTGGATACTGCTAGTGGCTGTCACTTAGAAAGTCACTAGAGGTGCACCCTATTGTAGTACTGCAATATTTGCAGGACTGAAGTTCAGTATATTTACGCTCTGCATGAAAATGCCAAACACTACCAATAGAAATGTACTGTGAGATGCTGATTGGGGCAGCATGGCTCCCAATGCTTCTTTATGGATCATTAGTAATGAGTTGGTGGTAGGGATACTCTTGTACAAATACCTAGTATTCTTGTACGAATACCAAAACTGTTGTATAAATACCTAGAAATACTATGGAATTTGTAATTGGGATGTATTAATGGGTGTCTTTTCATAATAATTTACTCTCTAGACTGTTAGCTTGTTTGAGCAGGTTCCTCATCTACCTATTGTTCCTGTTACATTTTGTTATTGTCTCATTTGTTGAATTCCCCTTTTATTATAAAGCACTGAGGAATAAGCTGGCACTGTATAAATACCAATAATAATAATAATAATACTACCGTAGCTTTTTTCAAGGACAATGCATCTTTGTTCCTCAAAGCCAAGTCATTTTTGTCAGCAGGTGTTTTACATATCTGCCATTAAAATAAACCAGGCCAATCCAAATGCAAAATACATCTTGGTACGAAAGGTAGAAATTAAATTTACGGAAAAAAATGCTATCTTGTCACATGGACCTGAAAATAGGATAAAAAGTGGCAAAATTTATTCAACAACTAAACAGTAAACAGTTAAATATGAACATTTGTTACTGGTACCATTTGGTTATGCAGACAGAAAGATATATCCAGATATTTCTAGGGATTTTAAACTGAGGTAATGTTTCATATTTTCAGGAAGATCGTTATAGTTTTATGGTACGGTTGCTGGTGTCTGTAAGAGGAGACTTCTTGATCTGCTTCCTAGCTGGAACTGAGAATAGTGGCTCAATGCTACAAGTGGACTACAGGTTACAGGGGCTTTGAGGGGTTGGAGTGAACATCATGTTCACAAAATATGGGAGCTTTCCACTTAAATTGGAATAAACCAAACATGAAATGTGAACTTTGAAATTAGCAGGGTCATTCACTAAAGTGAGAGTTTAAAGTGCATTTCCAAATTAAGGCCCACATTTATTTTATTTTTTTCTGCCAGGGCTTTATTCAATTTCTATATAACCGTGCAAGAAAGTTTAAAATGTCTGACCAGTGTTCTCCCCTCCCACACAGGAAGACATTTTGAAGAGGAAATATTATTAACATATTGTACCAATCAGGAAAGGAGAAGTGGGTGTAAGGGTTCATGTGCCAGTCAATACAGAGCATGCATTATTTGTAACCTGCTGTAGTAGCTTGTAACCCCTTAAGGACCAAACTTCTGGAATAAAAGGGAGTCATGACATGTCACACATGTCATGTGTCCTTAAGGGGATAAAGTACAATAGTTAGTGTAAACTGCATGTATTTTATGTTGCCACAGACATTACTTTTACACTTCCTATTACGTTCATAGCTGACATAAGTGGCAAGCATGGCATTTCTGCTTGCATACTAACATTTCAGAACATTTTGGGGATACAATAAATGAAAAAAGATATCAGATCCAATATTTATGTAAAGAGTGAGAGAATCAACAAGAATGGTGATTTTTGTAAATGTTTGTGTATTTTACATTTTATGAGCAATCTTGATATGCTATCTTACTTTTATGTGCTTGCTGTGTCAAAGAAATGTTCTGCTAATAGCTTTATAACAAAAAAGTGTTTAATATCTATGGAGCTGAATTGTTTTTATTCCATAACTATATTTCTTTTGTATTATCTTCTGTGATATTTCTATGTTATATCTGACCAAAAAATGTACAGGTACTCCATTTTAAGTGGTAAAAAGTAAAGTCTTGTAAGGGTTCATGAAAACATTCTATTTTGTTACTTGTACATCGGAGTTATACTACTGTAAATGCTGAGATTGTATCCGACATATATGTTTCAATGTATAGAGAGATGATATTCTAAAAGTAATAATAATATTCACAATAATAATATTTAATCTGATGTACCACAAAACTTTATATTGTACCTCTACTGGCCGTTGATATATTGCTGATTCTGTTAGCAAATTTACTGCTGCTAATTGAAGCCATCACTAGAAAAGCTAATGGTATTTTCTACAGGCTGCCCTCTTTAAAATATCTTTGACCCAGACTCTTTTTTACATATAACCCTTGTGTCTTCAGATAATACTTATGACATCAATAGCTTGATTGGTTTCCAAATTTTGTAAGTCCCCCAGATTTGCATGTGCACATCAGTACCAAATTCCATACAGCTTGAAGTAATGTGAACATCTGGAGACATGACAATGATATAGAGCCGTTGTAACTTTTTAGAAACAATGAAAAACAATTATCAAATAATTCTGTAAGTAAATCTAAGTCTTTGAGAGTTTGAATTTATGTATTAAATTTGGTCATCTTTATGCAGATGCATTAACACATTGAAGGCAATGCGTCTGAGCACCATATATCTTATTGTATGATAGTACTTATATTCCTATTTACTATTCCTTATACAGTTATTGTTCTTAGGTGTATGACAGCAATGACTAGATTTAAACACCACAAAAAAATAATATAATTGCCAAAAATGTTTTCCGAATATGATAGTTAGTTCAGGAGCTCTGACACACCATGATAAATATTCAGGGAAATGATTCAGATGAACAAAAGAGGGAATGAAAATGGACTACTCAGATTACCGCAAAACCGAATGCACAAGTCCAGTGATGACTTACCTGTCAAGCTGTTCCGGACTTCATTATACTATTCCATTAATGTGGATTGAATATGTGGATCTTGGTATTATATTTAAACCTTTTCGTTATTTAATGATTTTATAATATTATGTTCATTGTGTATTGTAAACAAACATGTATATGTGCCATATGAGTAGAATAACTCAGTCAAGTTTTATAGTGTTTGGTTCCTGGTGGCTTCTTGTTTACCAGGACATTAGCAGCAGTTGGGGCATCAAAGAATAATCAACACTGTTTTATTTTATTCAAAGGGTTGCTTTTAAGATACTCAAGGGTTAAAACCTTTTATAAAATTTGAAGAATATTTGAAGAATGATTCAGTTACGATTTTTTAATATTTCAAAGATAACTAACTCTTGATGACTTATAAAAAGATAATTATTTTAAATAGTACTTTATAAAACATATTTAGCAACCCCCCGACAGACACAAACACACACACATACATACAGAAACACAGACATACATACAAAGACACAGACAAACAGACAGACATATACATACAGACACATACATACAAAGACACATATATACAAACAGACAGACAGGCACACATACATACAGACAAGATACACATACATACAAGCAAACAGACAGACAGGCACACATACATACAGGCAGACACACACATACAGACAGACACAGACATAAAACACACATACACCAAGACACATACATACATAAAAACAGACAGGCACACACACATACATACAGACAGACACAGACACACAGACACACACACACACACACACACAATAAACATACATACAAAGACACATACAAACAGACAGGCACACATACATACAGACAAGACATACATACATACATACATACAAACAGACAGACAGGCACACATACATACATACAAAGTCACATACATACTTAAAAACAGACAGGCACACATACATCCATACATACATACAGACAGACACACACACATACAGACACACATAAGACACACATACATACAAAGACACATACAGACAGACACACACAAGACATACATACAAAGACACATACATACAAACAGACAGGCACACATACATACAGAGAGAGAGACACAGACACATACATACAAACAAACAAACACACACACACACATAATAATTAAGTCACCCTCCTGTTTCCTACCTTTAAGGTGCAGGAGGGTGACTTTCCCTGGGGTCCAGTGGTGGCTCAGGTTGATGGGAATCAGCGTTCCCACTCTGACTCCCTGTTCTTTCACCAGCACAGGCTCTGTGTGTTAGCTGGGAGGAGTGATGTGCAGTCACTTCCTCCAGCAGTGATGATCTCATCACATGACAATCCATCTCCATCGGGTGGCCCTGACAGCATGCACCACCCAACGGGCACCTTAACATGCGGCCCCGGCAGTTTGCAGTGCGGCCCGGGGCCACAAATGATGATAGCGGGCACCCGGCCGCCCTGCAGACCCCTGTGACCGGGTGCCCGCCATCATCATTTGCGGCCCTGGCCTGCGTGGGGAGTGACAGCTGCGACCCCTGCGACCGCGGTATGTACGCCAGTGATCAGTTGTGTTTGAGCCATGTAGTAACTTTAAAACCCTATCGTAATATATATGTTTAATAATTGTGTAGTCTCCTAAGTATTCATAAACAGACAAAACAAGCTATGATGTTATAGAATGTTCACAAATGTTCTTGTTGATCAAGAAGTACCATTACTTATTAGATGCAAATATTTTCCTTACTATTGCATAATGGCCCTTGACCTTTTTGTCAGGTGCCTGTAAGAGAGGGGTTAAGGCCAGCATTCGATTGTATAGGGTGTTTAGTGTTAACATGATTAAAAGCTTGAGAGGTGTTATAGTTATGGTAAAAAGGGTGTTTTGAATTATTGAGTTTAGGGTTAGAGTGAGGTTAAATATAATGTTTGTATAAAAGTGGGAGTTGCAGTTGTGAAAAATTTAGTATTGGGGTATGTGGCAATGGTTGTTTTTAAGATTATTCAAATTAAGGATTATGATAGATTATTTGTTTTGTTTTTTAGAGTAGGCTTTTTGTGCCAAAATCTGGCACTGAAGAAGGGTTTGATTGGGTTTTGGGAGGGGTCAAAATTAGATTTTGGGAAAAAGGGTGTTTAGGGCATGTGATGTTTTAAAAATTGTTTGCAAATTACTTATCCTCATATGCCAGTCATTCTCTTAAGTTTTCAGGGCTGAAAAAGATGCCCCCTACATGATATGCTAATGTAGGCAGGTGCCTACTCTGCCTAATGAAACATTTGGTACTCATAATGTTAAAAATTTGTTAAATGTAAAACAAATTCTATGTTTAGCTCATACAAATTCTACATTTTAAAGCTACAGTTTGGAACATGGACATCTTATAGATCAAATCTGGATGAGGTTTACAAATGTCTGTGTTACGTCCTCCTATCAAAATGTAATGATTACCCTCTGCATATATAATTTCTCTTGAGAAAGGACGAGAATTGGGTTTGAAACGTAGACTATGCAATAATAAAAGTTTGTTATTTTTGAACTAAAAAAACCCTCTGAGAACCTTCTTCATTGGCATTTCTTTAAATTATTTTTTTTTTAATACATATATCCGAAAGAAAAGCTAGAAAGGATGTGGAAAGCAAAGGCGGTAGTTCCAGTTGTGATAGGAGCACTCAGAGCTGTGACTCCCAAGTTGGGGGAGTGGCTTTAACAGATTCCAGGTGGGACATGTGAGATCGCTGTCCAGAAGAGTGCAGTTCTAGGAACAGCTAAGATACTGCGCAGAACCCTCAGACTCCTAGGCCTCTGGTAGAGAACCCGAGAATGAGGAATAAAATATACCACCCAGGAAATGTAAAATTAAGTGTGATGTAGAAGGGAATAGTTGAGTACAGACTTTTATGGCACTCGTGTATCGGCCTGTTTACTGAAGGTTTGGTGAGCTGAGAAGCAACTTTCTATTAAATATGGAGGAGTTTTAAAACTGTATTTGTGTGTATAATATTCTTGATTACCAATTCAAAATTCCCTCTTGTGTAGTCCAGCAACAACAAGAGGGAAAGTGATCATCATAAAGGGCCTCAATTATGGCTGTCCAGTCATGGACAGAAAGAATACAGAACTTAGAAAAGCACCATAGAATACATAATTCCCTTATTTAAAAGCTATTATGTTTGGTAAATAAACTGGAACTATACTCATATTAAAGAAGAGTATCCCAAAGCCGTTTTATATGAGTATATACAAAAGATGGGGTTAAATAATTATATGTATATACGTGATGGGGTTAAATAATTAGAGGAAATAACACCAGCTATTAAATTAATATCCAACTTCATGTTCTTGAACGTGCTAGTTCTTATGAATTTTAAAAGGTCATTCTAAGTCCCAGAACCAATACAAAGCAATATAGGGTTAAGGTAGCAGTCAGGGACGTATTAGCCGCGAGGTAAACAAGGCATTTGCCTTGGGTGGCATTTTTCAGGCTTGCGGCTAACAGACATGCCGGGCGCTGGGCGCGCTGGGCGTCATATTCCGGCTCCCAGCCTCACTCTGCGGCGCGCGAGGGAGCTGAGCAGTCAGCTCAGAGGAAGAGCTCCCTCACCAGCCTCCCGCCCAGCAGCCACTGGATCACCAGGGAGAAAGAGGAACCCCCCCCCCCAGCACTCTCAAAGGTAAGGAGGCTGGGGTTAAATAAAAAGATTTTTTTTTTTGCGTGAGTGTGTGTACGTCGTGTGTTTGTGTATGACTGTGTGTGTTTGTGTCTGACTGTCTGACTGTTGTGTGTTTGTGTGTTTGTGTCTGACTGTGTGTGTGTGTCTGACTGTGTGTGTGTTTGTGTGTGTGTGTGCCTGACTGTGTGTTTGTGTCTGACTGTGTGTGTGTGTGCCTGACTGTGTGTTTGTGTCTGACTGTGTGTGTGTGTGTCTGACTGTGTGTGTGTTTGTTTGTGTCTGACTGTGTGTGTGTGTTTGTGTCTGACTGTGTGTGTGTGTGTTTGTGTCTGACTGTGTGTGTGTGTGCCTGACTGTGTGTGTGCCTGACTGTGTGTTTGTGTCTGACTGTGTGTGTGTGTGCCTGACTGTGTGTTTGTGTCTGACTGTGTGTGTGTGTGTCTGACTGTGTGTGTGTGTCTGACTGTGTGTGTTTGTTTCTGACTGTGTGTGTGTTTGTGTCTGACTGTGTGTGTGTGTCTGACTGTTTATGTCTACTGTGTGTGTGTTTGTGTCTGACTGTGTGTGTGTGTCTGACTGTTTGTGTGTGTGTATTTAGAAGGTGGGGTGGGGGGAAGGGTTGGGTGGGGGTGGCGCGGGGGAAGGGGGTGCCTGAGTTTTGTCCTGCCTAGGGCAGCACAAAACCAGGATACACCACTGGTAGCAGTAGTTTTGTTAAAACACATTTATTTGGTAACTGATATAATACAAATTGAGAAATGTTTCCTGTTTTAAATTCTTTATTCTATTTTTGCATCACATGCTTGTGTTTAATAATAAAGTAACCATAATAAATTCTAAGCAGTAGAATGTATTTTTAAAAAGTACAATTAATTTGCTTAAAGTAATAGAAACTGACTGCCAGACAGCGTTATTTGCTGGCCTCTACCGATGTCTTATTGCGGTTGCTTATTTATAAGTTTATGGTACGTCTAGCACTACAAAGGAATGAAAGCCAACCCTTTAATGCATTTAGAATTTTAATAGCTGTTTGAATTCATTTTAGAGTGGATCTAGAGACTGCAGTAGATGACTTCTTCTGTTTGGCTAAAATGATAAATTATGAATTAGGACATTCATTTGGCTCCAGATACGTTTTGGATTCAGTACCTTATACTGTAATTTTGTCTTTTATTAGAGGAACGGAAATGAACGGCCACGAAGAAAACTTCTGGAAATTTTATACATTTAATATATTTCTTTGAAGACTCAAAAAAGAGTGGTTTAATATCATAAATAGTAAATCCACATTGTACTGTGTGATTGTGGGGTTTGCTCCAATGAATGCTTTATGCAAAAGGTTAGGAAAATTTGTAAAGAGTGATCTTGCTAAATGTGAAGACAATTACCAACTTGTGTCACGTTGTTCAAAGAGTATTAGCTTGACCTTTGCTATAACGGTGTTCTAAGATCTAGAAATTGATGTAATTATGAAGTGGGTTTCCTCAATCAGTTATTGCATAAAGTATATGTGGTAGGTGATTTATTATAGTCTGGATAAAATGTTGCACTTAATATATATTAATAATAGTATGGGCACATACCAAGTTTGGATAAAATATAAAGAGGTCAGAGTATAATTTAAAAGGAAATATTAAAATGACATCAACATTAACTGAAATGATCTTAAAATTATGAAGCGAACAGTCCATGATCAAATAAGAGAAATTGTTACAACTAAAATCTATGTAAGCAAAGAGGGGTTATTTACTAGACAGTAAAGTGTTGCAAATGTAAAATGAGCTAAACCTAGCAACACAAAAAAGTCAAGATTTTTTGCGTCAATGATTTAATTTTATTTTATCACCTACATTTTTATTTTTATTTAAAGGGGGTATATATAAATATATATATAAATATATAATATAATCCCACACACACACTTTTTGTTAAAAGAAATTGAAAACTAAATCCTTTACATAAAAGGAAAGCTGGCAATTTGGCATTGATTCCATTGTCTGAAAACGCTTGTAAATTCTAAGCCACGTCAGGGTTTCATTTCCAACATATTAATCTTTAAAGAATATTGCACAACAAAATGTATTGTGATAATTTCGAACTTATAGATTGTATAATAAAACATACTAATGGACATTATTTTGAACAATTTCACAAGTTATTTAGTTTCATCTGATGTAAACTGAGCCAGAGGAAAAAAGGGGAAAAATTAATTAAACAACCTCATCCTCCTACAATGTGATGAAATAGAAGTATGTGGTGATCAAAGTTATTCTACATCGTTAGCAGGGCACATTTTTGTAATTAGTACTAAAACTATACATTTTGTATATTTATCTATCTCTATATAAAGTTATGTGTGTATTTATGTATGTATCTGATTGTTTGTCTATCTACACCTTGCAATGTGTACCCAGGACAACGAGAGAAATCTCAATGTATCCTTCCTGGTAAAATGTTTTATAAATAAATAAATGTGATGATGCGAATAGATTGAGTATTGACTGACTTTTCATTAAAACTAAAACTATTTTAGTAGCACGGTGTGTTGATTAAAATTGGATACTCTTTAAAGGAACTCTTTAAAGGAACACTCCAAGCACCACAAACATCACATGGTACTGTAGTAGTTATGGTGCCAAGAGTGCGCTGGCACCCGCCCGAATGTAAGTAGTCTAACTGTTTGCTAACAGCTTAATTTCTTACCTGGAGTTCACTGAGAGCCAGTCACTGCCTTCAGAAATGGAAGCTATCTGCCTGGCAGTGTAAGTCTTTGTTCATTGACTGACAGCAATCAGTTGATGCTCTCAGCCAATAAACTTGTCCTGCATTGCAGGGTTTAGCTCATGAGAGCTAACAGAAGTTCCAAGCAGAAGTTTCCAGCTCTCAATATAGGTAGTGACTGGTGCTCTGTTAACCCCAGGTAAGAAGCCAAAGGGTTAGCAAAATGTTTGACTACTTACATGGTGGCCACCAGAACATTCTTGGCACTATAACCAACTATAGTGGGCTGTAGTGGTTATGGTGCTTAAAGTGCTGGTTTAATAAAGGTGTTATATTCCAGGGCAACGTAAGTGACAATGTATATTTCTCATATCTGGTTAATTAATATCATTTTTTTTTCTGTGCTTCATCTCATGAAAATAATTAACAAATCTGGAAGTCAATTCCCTGTGTCCTGTGTTCAGTGTCCTGAATATATTTAAAATTTTAGCAAACTTCTTTTTTTTGAGAGGTCTAGTCTTTGTACCAGACAGAAAAAGACAGTTTCTGCATTGCTGCCCAATGAGGCTGCCGCATACTTTACCCAGATAAGAGTATATTATTTGTTGGTTATATAAAAAACATTATGTGGACCAGGGTTAGTACCTGGGGATCACAGCAACAATTTAGTATCAAATGTAAACACATTGGATATGTTTTTAATATTTATAAATTGCTTTGTGATATACAAAGGGATTACCCACACACACAACTTTAACCTTTGAACTATCTATTAAAGTGACTCTGTCACCTTCTGGGTTCTTTGCATATCTTGCAAAGACCTCCAGTGTTGACATTGCCCCGTGGTGTGTAGTATCCAGGGAGTACAGGGGAAGGTAGGTTTTACTTACTTTAACCTGTACCAGGCAGTTGCAGCCATCTTGATCTGGTGCATCCCCTTCAGCTTTGGACGCTTCATCTGCCAGGAGACAACGTCTGTGCTGTACTGTCTTGCATGCACAAGAGTACAACACACATGTCTATAGAGGATCTTGTGAGACCGCAGTAGACTACAAAAATAAAGCCTTTTTCCCCCTCACCCAACACTAATAACAGCTGTGGACTTTGCAAAGCTTGACAGCGATAGCTCCACCTTTTTGTCAAGCTTTGTCAAGTGTAGGAAAATACACAAGACAACATGGTGCTTGATTGCATACTTGTTTTTTTGCTTGTTTTATTCAATTAAAGCTATTTATGGGAAACCAGTTACCAGAGGGAGCCAATAAAGCGTTATTTTGAATTATCTCTGATAGCTGCCTTAGTGCTCATTGGTTATTACATAACGCTCCTTGACAGCTGGTTTGGAAAAAAATGTGGTAGCCAATTACCTGCAGCTGCCCTTTAGTAACACTATTTTAATATTAGCTGGTAAATGGGCAAGTCTCTATTTATCAGAGCCTTCCCACAAAAAATAACTTGGGCATCAACATCTCTGTTATTGTAAGCCAAAAAAAATTATGAAAATCAGGCAGTATGACTTTTAAACCAGTGTCAAAGTTTTAAGTGATATTTTATTTTGTTCCCAAATTGATAAGACGAGGTTGCAAGTTTCTCGTTAGTCTAAAATGGATAAGTTATCTATATAATCCCTCACGTTTATAATCCCTTAATATGCCAGGTTCCCACGCACTCCTAATCTTTTAAACTTGTCAAATAAAGTATTGGATTTTATTGGAGACTGGAGTGCATATATATAGATAGATAGATATATGTATACGTACAATAACGTACAATAAAGCATATGCAGTCTAAGTTAGAACATAGCTATGAGCTAATGGAAATGGCCATATCCTTATAGGCTATAGAGCATCCTTTGCATGATATAAACGGTATTCAAGAGCTAGCAGTGTACAACTATAATATACTGGCTAAAATAAAACACGAAGAAACAGGAGATAATTGCACAATATGTTATTCAGATTGTTTTTCCTGTATTTTTTATAATGATCGTTTCCATAATCAGCAGCACTAAGGAAATATTTATATATTTTTACAATTCAAATATGATGTTTTACCACATTTGCCCATAGTTTTTTTCTCTTTCACACCTAGCAATCCCTGACAAATCAGCAATTTCTTTTAACCAGTACACGATTCAGTTTCCAAAGCTTTGTTTGGGAATCTAATACAGCATGCTATAAATTTAGGGGGAACCTGGGTGGGCCCCGACTCCCGGCCAACCCAGGTTCCCCCTAAATGTATAGCATGCTCCTCCAGCTGTTTAAAATTCTCACGCATTTACCTATTCATTCCCTCTATATTCTGTCAATAGCTTCAACTCTCTGTCTACTTATTTATCCATCACTTCCAAATTCCCCATGCTGCCTCTTGTCTCAGATCCCCACAGTATCGTTTAGATTGTAAGCTCATGGGCTATCTAGCTAAGCACTTTGTATGAAAGAGCTTAAATGGCTGGATCTCAGCTTACGGGCAGGGCCCTCTCTACATTTTGTATTTGTCTGTGTATATTGTACGTTCTCCACTGATTGTACAGCGCTACAGAATCTGTTGGCGCTTTATAAATACCGATAATAAATAATAAATAAAATAAATGCTCATCCAGACTCAAATTAGATTATTATTTTATTAAATAGAACATGTGTCTCAAATGACTTTCTTGATATTGTATTAAAAAATACAAAGTACTTTTATAATAATACTAATTAAGCTTAGGTCATTCTTTCACACAATACAATTGTATAATACAACTTCGGCTCAATTTTCCAGGGATACGCACCAATGTAAGAATTCAAAGTAAATTCAAAATTAATTTCAAATTTAAGGTCAAAATAGCCAAACGGAAAAAATTCAACTATCCATTCACTTCCGCTGCTCTGGCCTTAAATTTCAAATTTACTTTGAATTCGATTGGAATTCTTACTTTAGTTAATGACACTTTTAGTGTTTAATAAAGATATTAAATCAAGGTGTATTATTTTCTAAATCCTATTCTGTTCATCAGTCATAAGCCTTTAGATCAAGTTTTTTGGTCAATATAGTGCAGGTATAAAGAAAATTATAAATGGGTCGTAGACATCCTTTAATGTAGCATGTTTGGTGTTCTATATATTTAAATAACATTCCTGTTTTACTTCCTTTCAATATTTCCTGAGTTCATTATTGCAGCTCCTAAATAAATACGTCCCATAAGGGTCCTTATGTCTGTACTAATTCCTTTACATAAATTTTAGATATTTAAGATCACACATGATATTTTTCAGGAGGCTGGTTGAATAATTTTTTCCTTTTCACTTCCTGTTGTGTCTTTAAGTAATACTCTGCTGACAAAGTGGTCAGGAAGTGATTAGTGTAAAGAAATATGACATCCCCTACTGTTAAAACCCCCCCCAGAAAAATAACATTCCGTTTTAAATATCTTGAGTTCTGCCATGGTATGGAAAATGTTACATCTATATATGCACAGACTATTAAATATGTTCTCTCATAAAAAAGCAATTTGTATTTTACCTATATTGATTTCCTGTGAAGGGCAGGTTGAATAGTCCATAGTCTGCAAGGAATAAAGAACCTTCAGGATTGTGGGTGGCATCTGTACAACTTTACAGCGTACTCAGAATCTTACATAATTTATATCTGACATTCTAAACAGGGTCTTTTTTAAAGAGCATCTTTTTTTTTTAAATAACATACATTTTTAAAAGTAGAAGAGATTGTAAAGCCCATGTATCGTTTTTAATATAATCATTATATTAATTGTTGGCGTATTTAAAATGATATTAATATTAAAAATACTTTTAAGTGTTATGTTGAAAATTGCAAACAAAATTGCAACCTTTTATCAATGTGCATTTAAAAAAAAATATTTTACAGAATGATAAATTAACATTTCAATCTGCACTCACGTTATTTTTGTTAAATCCATTATTTGAACATAGGAAACATGTATCAAATTAGGATTTAGAGCATGCAGCTTGAAGAATGGCCAAACGTAAATTGAATTTTATTTCAAACTTTTCACATGAATTAAATTTACAACTTTATCTTTCATTAAGCCTGCACATAGACATGCCGTAAAGTAATTTAAAAAAAAAAAATTGTGGGCAGTCATACTATTCTCTAGAGATGGAAACATATATTCTACATCTTTAAGCAAAAAGTAGTTACCAAATATTAGTCAGGATGGGATGCACCTGTGCTAAAAATTACCCCCGGGTTCAGAAAATAAAAAAACAGAGAGAAAGAACAGAAAATTTTGTTTGGATATTTTTCATATTTTTAGAATTTTTCATGAAAGTTTCTTTAAACACTCTTTAAGCATTCATACTCAATGCAATCTTTATGATGTAAAAAAAGACAAATGCAAATATATATTTGATATTACAATTTAATAAGTTGGATAAGCTTTTTAAATTATTTAACAATTTTGGCTAAACTTTAAAAATTATTTAATATTATGAAAAATAATGAAATTTTTTAAAATTTTTTTATTTTTAAATAAATATATTGATTCATTTTTTTAAACATGATATACTTTTTCATACTTTATTATGCTTAAAAATAGTTTTGAAAGTTTATCCAAAAATACTAGATCATTTGACAAGTTTATCCAACAATGTTAAATCAGGCCTTGTTTAGCTAATTAGCTTAATACAAACCTTACTTGTCAATTTGGATGAAATGTTATTTTTCAGGAAATACTTAGGGATTTGTCATGTAAGAATTAAGACTGTATTGGCTAATCTCTAAATATTAGTTTTATGTTTACTTGGAAAATTACTTTTAAAATTTAGGCAAAAACAGAAAGGTTCAGAAAACCATCCAACTAGGGTAAACTGAGATTTTATTTGGCTTTGCAGTCTGGCAAACAGTGTAAATTCCAAATGTCTAAGGATCACTTATGATGCCTTGAATGAATTCACACACAAAACATCTCAGGAGAGTGACAGTATCATTCTCCACCCATAAACACAGATGATTATGTTTTATACTTAGCTGTGCGTAAACCTCATCCCAATAGACACGTTCATAACATTTCATAGACTGGAAACACCTATGTTTTTTTCTTTCTTAAAGGGTACTCCAATCACCATGACCACTTCAGTGATTTGAAGTTGTCATACAGTTCCATTTGAAATAATGCCCAAACATAGTGCCACCCCTTTGCTGCTGGAGGTGTAACTCTACCCCTGGCAGCATCATAAGGCCCCATTAGCTAGCAAAGAACAAGAGTTATGGCTAAGGATTTATTGGTTAATGTCAATTCTGTGCATCTTTCTGTACAAAGAATTGCATCCATAGTCTGAGAGTGGTTAACTAGTGCTCTCAGTCAATCAATGGTCAGCAGGATCGACTTCTAGCTAACCGGGCACCCCCAGGTAAGTGGACAAACCATTGCAAAACAATTTGCCCCATTACTGGAAAATGGAACCATGGCATTCCAGCACCATAACATGCTGTAGTGGTTATAATGCTTGGAGCAGCCATTAATTTATAAAACGGTTTGAATAAGCGCACAATAAAGACTGACACATACATTGAGTACATAAAAGAGGAATTGCCCTCTCAAATAATGTTTCCTCTTTAAAGTCTCAAAGGTATCATCTTTTTATACTGATTTGGATCTTGAATATCTCCAGAATGCAATCTTTAATTTTCACTGCATGAATCCTACTCAAATAAACATCAACATAATTACTTTTTCTTACATGAAGAAATTACCGTAATAACTTGAGTATAAGTCGACACGAATATAAGTCGAGAGCCCTAATTTTACCCCAAAAAACTGGGAAAACTTATTGACTCAAGTATAAGACTAGGGTGGCAAAGCAGTAGCTACTGGTACATTTTATAAATAAAATTAGATCCCCCAAAAATTATATTAATTCAATATTTATTTACAGTGTGTGTATATAATGAATGCAGTGTGTGTGTGTGTGTATATAATGCACAGTGTTTGTATGAATGCAGTGTGTGTGTGTGTGTGTGTGTGTGTATGAATGCAGTGTGTGTGTGTATGAATGCAATGTGTGTGTGTGTGTATGAATGCAGTGTGTATGTGTGTGTGTGTATGAATACAGTGTGTGCGTGTGTACGAATGCAGTGTATGTGTGTGTGTGTGTGTGTGTGTGTGAGTGTGTGAATGCAGTGTGTGTGTGTGTATGAATGCAGTGTGTGTATGTGATGCAGAGCCTTGGTGGGGGGTGGGCATTTTTATTATTTTTTTTAAATGATTATTATTATTTTTTATTTATTTATATTATTAATTTTTTTTTATTTTAATATTATTTAATTTTTTATTTATATTTTTTTCGTACCCCCTCCCTGCTTGTTAGCTGGCCAGGGAGGGGGCTCTCATTCCCTTGTGGTCCAGTGGATGGGCTGTGTAGGAGGGGGCCTGGCAGAGAGCTGTAACTTACCTTTCCTGCAGCTCCTGTCAGCTCCCTTCTCCTCCTTGTCGGTCAGCTCCCTTCTCCTCCACTGTAAGTCTTGCGGTGTGACTGCCGCGCGGAGCGTTGCCACGGTAACCCGTGGCAACACTCTGACCCCCATGGCTCTCGCGAGATTTACAGTGGAGCTGACAAGGGAGCTGACCGGAACGGAGGTGAAGGGAGCTGACAGGAGCTGCAGGAAAGGTAAGTTACAGCTTGCTGCCAGCCCCCAACAGGACCGCCGGGCTTGTAATGAGCCCGGCGGTCCTTGTCTGTATTATGGCAATATAAGTTGCCATAATACAGACATTGACTCGAGTATAAGTCGAGTGGGGGGTTTTCAGCACAAAAAATGTGTTTAAAAACTCGACTTATACTCGAGTATATACGGTAATCATAATTATTATACCTTTTATTTAAGCCATTGTAAAATTCAGACAGCTCTGCTACTACTTAAAATGTTAAAATGTTTCCAATCATTGAAGATCTGTAACAGCCATTGGTAAAGCGGATGTCATGATGCATCATAAAGTGATCAAAAGAATAAATTAAGTTGTTTTACACATGCAAATATAAACACATCTTCTTTTGTGAGTCACTATTTTAAAAGCTACTGGATTCATAAAGCCAGCAAACCATGTGAAGAAGCACATTATAAAACATGCTTGCATCTGTGCTAGCATAACAAATGTGTTAATAAAGTGTCTTATATATAAAACAGACCATTAGTCACAGGATTGCAAATAAACTACTTGGCAGAGAGTTTTGAACCTGACACAGTAGGGAAAAGAGTCTGACCCAGATGTAGAAATTGATAAATTCCATTCTACAACGTGTGTCAGGTAATTCTACAATAACAGCTCACAGATCCCCACTATTGGATAGACAAAGTCTTCTATCATGTTTTTCTTTAATTTCTAATCAACGTACACTATTTATGTATATTTTCAAAAGCTTAGTTTTTTTATATATAATTAGCTCTAAAGCGGACACTGGTGGTGGATATGGCAATACCCAGTGACAATAATATCAGGAAGAAGGAACATGAGAAAGTGGACAAATACCAAGGACTGAAAGAGGAACTAGGTTGTGGAAAGTGAAGGCAGTAGTAGTCCCAGTTGTGATAAGAGCATTTGGAGCTGTGACCCACAAGTTGGGTAAGTGGCTTCAACACTGTCCAGAAGACACTGCACAGAACCCTCAGACTCCCAAGCCTCTAGTAGAGGAACATTAGGAATACCTAAAAATATAAATTAGCCAGGAGGGTGAGAAAATTGTATTTTTTAATAGATTTATCTACAGCTAGGGTTAGAGCTTGAGTTAAGAGTTGAGCTGGTTAGGGCAATAATTCATGTTATGGTCACAGCTAGAAATAGAGATACGGTTTAGATAAGGGTTTGATCTAGAATTAGGGTTCAAGTATTGTTAGGAATAGGGCTTAGGTTATTGATAGGGTTAGGCTTAGATTAAGAGCTAAATTTAGGGCTAGAGTTAGCATTCAGGTTGAAGCTAGAGTTAAAGGATCACTATAGTGTCAGGAAAACAAACTCGTTAACCCTTAGGTCCCCCCCCCCCAGACTCAGGGCCCCCCTCCTGCTGGGCTGATGGGGTTAAAACACCCCTTTAGCTACTTACTTTAATCCAGCACCAGGCTCCCTCGGCGCTGGTGACCTCTCCTCCCACTCCGACGTCAGCTCCCAAGTGGAGCGGAATGCGCATGCACAGTCAGAGCCACGCGCGCATTAAAAACGCCCATAGGAAAGCATTTCTCAATGCTTTCCTATGGACATTCTGCACGCTGAATGCGATTTTCGCATTCAGCATCACAGAAGCGCCTCTAGCGGCGGTCAGGAAGACAGCCACTAGAGGCTGGATAAACCCTACAATGGAAACATAGCAGTTTCTATGAAACTGCTATGTTTACATCTGAAGGGTTAAAACCTGGGGGACCTGGCACCCAGACCACTTCATTGAGCTGAAGTGGTCTGGGTGACTATAGTGGTCCTTTAAGACCAGTGTTAATAGGATTAAGATATGAGCTTAAACTAAGCAATTTGGGACCTGTATGTCTCTCTGTCCACGAAAGATTTAACCTAGCCCTCAACCAATCCCTAGCCTTAATTTTAGCTTTAACCCTAAAAATCATGTAATATAAAAGATAAATAGCTGTAAATTATGTATTATCGGAAATTAATCTTGGTATTCTGGAGTCATTTCTAAACTTCTGTTTATTATGAGAATCCCTTCCTTCAATGGCATTATTTTATCTGTTAGATATCTTTTATATACAATAAAATTTGGTCAGTATTTCAATGGTTTTTAAATATCTTAAATGAGCCCTAGCTGTAATCCTTACTCTGTTAAGAGAATCTAGCCCTTTTAAAATAATAGCAATGTTGAGGGGAGACAGGTATGCTTTTAATATTACAGAGAAAAACTGGATTTCGATATATATTCATTTGTCATAGATATTTATGGAGTACGTTTTGGACAATCCATCACTGTTATTATATGGTTGCAGGATACTGATGTGTTTTCAGACAATTATGTAAACAAATGTTTCCTGTTACCTAATACAATACATGTGTAATAATAATGATAATATAATTCTATTTTATGACTAAAGTATATTTTGGCTAAAGTTTATTTGTAACACATTGTATACAACAAATCACATACATATTATAAATTGAAACAATATGATACAGATGGTGATATAACTCATTCAGTTAATATATTGGACTTTCAAGTTGACTAGGGTAGTAACAGCAGGCATTCCCGTGGATATACTGGAAAATGAGTAAAATAACTGCAAAATAGCAGAAATGACTATACAAGTGCCAACACCTAAGTCAAACAGTGAGGGTCTCATTTCTACATTTAACTATTTTTGTTTAAAGTTAACTCAGTTACTTTGTTACAAGCATAGCATTTGCAGTTTGCGTATACATTTACGAAGATGTATTGTTATAACGTTTGTAAAGTGTCAGGTTACTTTGCATATGGTAAAATGCTTAATTACAGTCATTTAAACATTAAACAATGGAAATTACTCATATAACCTCAGTCAGGACTGCTGGAAGAAAGAACAGAAATACGTATTTGAATTTGGGTAATGCAAGAGAAAGCAAGTATTATTGGCCAGTAATGCATTAAACGAAATGGGATACTGGCTCTTAAGTAAAATATATCCTGAAACATTTGCTGAGATCTGTCTTTTAAGAAACAATCAAGTAAATTTTAGCACTATTATGAGTCTGTGTATTTGTTCCTTCCTCCAGCTGGATTGGGAACCACTGTTCCACCAAAACATTGTAGAGCTATTTACTAAAGTGGGAATGCAAAGTGAATTTCAAATTTGAGGTCAAAATATCTGATCTGGAAAAAATCTGCAATATAGCTTAGGTACCATGGCCTTAATAAAATGTACTTTGAATCCACAATATAGTCTCATTTTAGTAAATAACCCTGTTTTTGTATCACGCGTTACCATGAATCAGTGTTAATTTTGTCTACTAACAATTTTAGTCAACTACAATTTTTTAGATTTAGTCGACTAAAACAAGACAAAAACTAAAATTATTCAGATGACTAAAATACGATTAAAACTAAAATGAACTTTGCTGCCATAATTAACAGTGACATGTAAGAGAGGTCACAGAGGGCCTGGGGAAGGGGCAAAAGAGACATGTAGAGGATTTAACTAAAACCATTAGATTTTAGTCGTGTTGACTAAATTCTACTGTAGATTCTAAAACTAGACTAAAACTAAAACAATTCCGATGACTAAAACACGACTAAAACTAAAATGGCTTTTAAAATGAACACTGCCGTGAATATTACTGTCCACAATATTCTTTAAAGTTGATTGCTTTGACTGGTTTTGCTTTGTTAAAATAATATTCACATTTCATTATTCTGTAAACATTCTTACCCACCTGTTATATATTATTTTAAATGAGTCACATGTAGTCTTTAAGCCACTTCAGTGGATTAAATATTTTTATAATGATATATCAGTATGATCTTTAAACTGTTACGTATCAAAAATTGTGTGACCGTTTTATTTTCTGTCTTTGTTTACTTATATATTTTTTTTATTTCACTTGCAATGATAACTTAGAGCTATACACCTTTCGCACAAACATTAGGAAATAACTTTAAGGAAGCGTTTAATTTCTTATTTCCAAGATTTTGTGGATTTTGTTCAGTTGTAGTGAACCCTCAAACCCTAACCGGAACACTTATCGTGTGGTCATAATTCAACATACACTGTATGTAACAAAAAAAACAAGTGATGTCCACTTAACTAATAAATCTGTCATCACTGAGGGGTTTCTATTTCCTCTGAAATAAACAAATTACTTTAAGGTTCTTTAGAGCAGTAGTCTGCAAGGAAACACAAACCTCACTTGTACTTCAACCAGTAAGATAAATTAGTTTAAAAATGGCAGTCGGCTGTAACAGAAGGAGCCTCTATCCTCTCACACCTGCTACCAAATAGGCAAGAGATTTCCATACAGCATGAATTCAAACAAATCTTAAGTCAACGTAGTGAGGGAAAGTGCTCTAGAGCAGCCAAAGCTAAATCCTTGAGACCAAAGCTACTGCATTGCAAACATTCAGGATGAATGAAATAAGTACTGTACCCTATGCTCTTCTGATGAGTTTCCCAGTGCAGGTGAATGGTTTTATGGGGAAACTAGCAACTCATGTGATTCACTGTAAAATAGATCAGCTTAAACTAGTCTGGTGAAAACTTTTGAAATAACCTTTTCAAGAAAAGAAACCTTTGTGCTTGGTACTCGTATCCTCAATTTTTGGTATCTAACTTTTTTATTGCACATAGTTAGACAGGCGTTGGATGCTATCATGTTTTAGGCAGAGAAAAATAACTAATAAGATACTAAGTTAGATTTAAAAAAAAATTATCTTATTATTCTAAAATGACCAAATAATTCCGTGCTTATAAAGAGAATATAAGGTGTTTTAGAATATTTGTGAACCTTGGCTGTTACGTTGTAGGCGACATCATGATGTGTGTGCATGCATTTGTACAGAGGCATTTTTTAAATGTATTTTATTCTTTATAAAATTAATGTAATTTCAAGCTGTGCTTAAATATGTGTCTGTGCAAATGGGAAGAACACACACATTAAATGTATTGCAGTATGTAAAGTTTTTAAAATAGTAAGCATTTGGTATTATTTACTCTAGTATAGTAATTTAACGAAAAATAAATGTATATTTTGGAAAGAGCCAATGTGTCAGAGGGTTGAGGATTATTTATATCCCAAGTGATTAAACAAGGATACTATTTTATAACATTAAATAACCCAGTGAAGCAGATATTTATCTGGATGCCTTTACTTTATTAATTGTATTCCTGCACTTTTCAATGTTTGTTAATTTCACTTTGTATGTTTTTTTATTTTGGCCTTTAAGCTTTCTGTCTGATCCGCATTGATCTCAATGTCAATAAAGTTCTTTGTAGGTTCGGTGCCATGACGTACTCGTGTGTTAATGCTTTGGCGTCATGTAACTACATCATGCGTCACACTTTGTCCATAACTGCACCCCTCGTTTACAGTAACAATGTATATACCAAAAGGCAGATGATTCTTCATTTAAAAAAATAAAAATAAAATTCAATTAAAATATAACGGCACTTTTATGGCAACATTGTAAATAGGAAGAAATCAGAAATCTCTTGATACATAATTGATGTTTGGTTGTACTTCCAGTCATATTTCTAGGCAGTTTCCAATCACACTGACTGCATACTCACCATTCCACATTCATCCCGAGACCTTTTATAAAAATCCAAGGTTTACTGTGTTAAACGTATTGTTAACATTATATAAACAGATGTGTGTGAATTGTTTAATATCTAATCAGGATAACATTTAAAAGCATTAAATGTAACAAAGATTTTTTAAAGTCAGTAAGCCTTTTGAGTAAAATTGGGAGTGTATGTTCCAAAAGCATAGTCTGATTGCTTCTTTTAGTTTGGAACTATTGTCTACAGCTAACTGTTTCAGATGTACACCATTTTTATATGCAGTAAGCCTAATATAATCCCGCCTACAGTGACATTAAAAAATATCTCGGGTTGGAAAATGGTTGGGAGTTATGTATAGCTTGGAGGAAAGACGAGACGGGGGGATATGATGGAAGCATTTAAATACATAAAGAGAATGAATACAGTAAAGGAGGAGACTCTATTTAAATTAAGAAAAACTGCCACAACAAGAGGACATAGTCTTAAATTAGAGGGACAAAGGTTTAAAAATAATATCAGGAAGTATTACTTTACTGAGAGGGTAGTGGATGCATGGAATAGCCTTCGAGCTGAAGTGGTAGAGGTTAACACAGTGAAGGAGTTTAAGCATGCATGGGATAGACATAAGGCTATCCTAACTATAAGATAAGGCCAGGAACTAATTAAAGTATTTCAAAAATTGGGCAGACTAGATGGGCCGAATGGTTCTTATCTGCCGTCACATTCTATGTTTCTAAGTTCTTTCTTCGAGTGGAAGTTTGGCATTTTTACCTGCTATTTTCAAATATGTGTAATAAATTCCCACGCTTGAATGAGTGAATTTCCACACAGTTGTCCTTCAAGGATAGAAGCTCCTGTGAAACCATTGAAAATGACACATTTTTCTCTTAAAGTTCTCTTAAAGCACCACTATTCTCCTGTATCTTCATCTTGGTGGGAGATCTTGCCCATGCTTCCTCATTTGAGAATTCTTGACAAATTAAAGGTATCAATGTAGAAAAGTAATACTATAAGAGCTAAGACTATCCATTTAGTGTCATATAATATTTAATACAAATCCTGAGAATGACTATATGCATTGCTATAAAACATATGCTTAAACGATTTATGAAATTATGAAAATGTTCATAAACCAGTTGGCAAAGTCCAGAAATCTTTGGCAGCACAATGAGTTTACTAGAGTTTTATTATTTTATTTTGCAAAAAAACAGGTGTAGGCAGCTGAAAAATACATTTGATTTTAACCACAAAAATCCATTCTTGTATAGTCTTTTGTTCTTAGATTTCTGCATTAGTGAGTTTTATTTACACTCTGGAACAGCCATATGATTGAGTGAAGGATAGTTGTAATGACATAATTTGCATTGCATCTAGCATATAATATACATATTAAACTGTCATAAATAATGATTTGCAAGGCATTTTATTTCTGTAATACTACTATATTTTTGCAATAAAAGTATACATATAACTATTAAACATATGTAAAACAAATATGTCTATATAACAACTTTTCGCACTGTTTATTTAAAAAAATTATTATATATTTATTTTAAAAAAGTGTATATGAAATGTAGAAAGTGTGTAAAACATACGTTGGGTGAGATTGCTCAAGATAAGTAAGAAAAATATACTTAATATTCTCTATATATTTTTTATTTAGTTATTTTGAATAATCAAAACATAAAATACCAAGTGAAAATATGTTAAAACTGCATCTTTTTATGTAGCAGAAAACGTTCACGGATAACTGAAATAATTGTAAATTTACCCAATTTTTATTTTTGTTTGACCACCCTTAGTGGATATATTGCAGATATACTGCAATTTTAAAGGGGGACCTTTAAAAAAATATTTATGTGGAAAAAAAGTGTTTCAATATTTACTGTTATAAAAATGGAATATATTATATGCAGAGACAAACACATTTTAGTTGTTCACCATGCTATTTCTAATAAAATATTTGCGTTTTTAGTAGTACTTTAGTAGTTTTTAACTGAGACTGTGTGATAATCATTCAGAGCATTATTAGTACATGCACAATATCAGGTAATGAGGTTATTTAATCAATATCTCATATTATCCATCTCTAGTGTCATTTGCAGGGGTTAAACACATTGAAAACACATAATTATGTTGTTTCTTTGTTATATGTGCAAATAATATGGTATTCCAGCTCATCTCATTAAGGTGCTTGAGCTAACTTGTTTCTTTAATGTGGTGCTGACTAAATGTTAAGGATCCTTTGTGGCAGTGTCTTCCAGATCACTGGTTGACCTCCGTTTGGGTCTTAATATGCAGCTGATGTAATATATGAACTAATACACACACCAGTAAATAGACCGGAAAAAAAAATGCAACTGCTGTGTCTGCAGTATAAGGGTGGGGAATATTGGCAGACACGCAAAGGGCAATGGTGATAGAGGATAAAGAGAGACACATAGAAATAGTGGGGAAAAGAGCCACAAGCATAGAAAAGAGACACGTGTTTTAGGAGAAGACAAAGAGAGTCAAATTGGAGAGATGGGATGGAGAGACAAGTGGGCGAGAAATGACGAGACACAAAGATCTGGAGACACACGGTTGTAGGAGAAACACATGGTGGTGAGGAGAAGCAAGTGGGTAGAAATAATATCAGATCTTATTATTAAGAACTGTAAGAGATTATAGTTCCGTTCTGAAATCTATAAATACTCCAGAAATGAAAAGCTAGAATTTGTACTTCTCCCTGAGGTTAAAGGATTTCTATGGTGTTAGAAATACAACTCTGGACTCCTAACACTATAGTGCTCTCTGGTGTCAACCTTGCACTCCCAGCATATAAAGGGTTAAAAACCCTTTATTTACTTACCTGATTCCAGTGCCAATCTCCCACATCTGACGGGGGAACCTAATGTGCATACGCGACGAGGTCCAAGAGCGCATTAGGCTCTCCCCCTAGTAAAGCATTGAATCATTGCTATGGGGGTTTCACTGATGCTGGATGTCCACATCCAGAGCGTGAGGACATCCGGTTTCATTTGGGCGATGCAGAGTTGGGTAAACTCCCGGAAGCACTTCTAGTGACTGTCTTTTAGACAGCTACTAGAGACGGTCTTAATCCTGCAATGTAAACATTGCAGTTTCTCAAAAACTGCAATGATTTACATTGCAGGACTAGGGCAATAGGGACACTGTACCCAGACCAGTTGAATAAACTGAAGTGGTCTGGGTGCCTATGATGTCCTTTTAACCCCTTAAGGACCAAACTTCTGGAATAAAAGGGAATCATGACATGTCACACATGTCATGTGTCCGTAAGGGGTTAAGTCCTGCTAAGATTATTTACATATGGAAAGTGCCTTCTTTTTGCTGGGCCAGGAGCAAAAACTGCATTCAAGCAAAACACAAAACAGATTGGAAAAATAGGCCAAATTTTCCTTTCAGTATACTAAATTTTCACCCTATTTGACAATTATATTTGTATACTCTGTTGCATGAGGCTGTAATATTTAATAACTGTATTAAACCAGAGTATTATATAAAGTTACCTAGTAATTGTAAACATAGTTACCGACAGAGAGATCTATATTAGACATGGGCACAGCATAAATAAAGGACCCTGAAATTAAATATTTGAAGCAAGATCGGTTCATAATAAACTCATGGTCCAAGCTGTATCTAGACTTTCCTCAATAGGCATTTTTTGAGTTGTCATAACTGCTAGTTATGAAAAGTGATGAAAACTGCAACAGTTAGATAATAATATTTAAATTCATCTGCTTTTTCATGAATATTTCGCACCTCTTATTTTTACATTTTAAACATGAATTAAGGAAAATGAAGGAACAAAACTAGAGAATAGTAATACCCCACCTAACATACAATATATATATATAAAAATAAACATTAAAAGCATGGCTTTACACGTGGAACTGAGAAATAGGAATGTTAAGTGTCTGTTCCTTCAGTAACTATGGATAGTATTGTTCAGAATTGTGACTTCCTTTGATTTCTGATGTAAAGTACACCCTGGCTCATCCATGTATTGTGTGAGATGATATTCAGAAATGTAATCCTGTAAAGGAAATAGTGGGTTGCGTCATTATGAGGTCTACCTCACATTTCTCAAATTCATCTGGCTGCAAATGAATATTTGTGTTATGATGAATTGTTATAACATCCTTAAAGGGAAAATACTTAGACTGACCTTTGGAGAAATCAGTCTGAGCAGAGCTTTTATTATTTCTACGCTGAGAATATATATTTTTTTGTATCTGCATTTTAATAACAATTGACGTTAATGAAAAAATGTAAATACGTTATATGATCTTCTGGTATTTATTTGTACTTACCATGTTAACATTTTGTATTATCTGTGTAATGCAGTGAATGCTGGGTGTTGATCTAGGACGGTGCACTGGCACATACTAAACTTTTTCACAACTAGGTTGCCAAGTGTGGCAGAAATTTATGATGACAAAAATGGGTCTGTCATGAGTTGTATGTAAGTGTGTGTGTTTGTGTCTGAGTCTGTGTGCACACATTTGAGTGTGTGTGTAAAAAAATAATAATATTGTAATATTGCCCAATGTCCATGATGCTGTGCATATTTTTTAAGGTTTTATGTTCTTAATATTTTGCTTTAGCTGACAAAGAACTACTATAGGTATCTCAATGAAGTGGTCTGAGTGCTTCGGCGTAGTTATAGTCCTGCAATGTAAAATATTGCTATTTAGCAGAAATGGCAATGTTTTCATTGGCAGGATAAACACACCTATTGTGGCTGTCAGTCACTAGAGGCACTTCCTCTATGAGAACTTCGTCCTCACATTTCACATCATGTGATGCTTCTCATAGTGAGCAATCGAGTGGATTACCATGCACTCGACGCACATGTGCTTCTCAGCCCCAGTGTTCCTCTGTAAGAAGCACTGGGTTGGATGAGAACGCAGAAGATGTCGGCATGTTTGCTGATGAAGAAGAAGTCAGGGCAGGTGGCTTCAATTATGGTGTCTTAGCAAGGTGAGTAAAATATATTTAACTTTTTATCTTTTCACAGAAAAGGGGGGTGGACAGAGATCCCTGTAATAGCAGGGATCTCATAGTCCTGAAAAAAAGCTGCGATTAAGACAATAAATACCATTTGCACAGATAATTCCTTACAAAGGGGTGCTTATAATATAAACAAAAATAGCTTTAACATACTGATTACTGACTATTCATTGTAAACAAGGAGAAAAGAATTAAAAAAAATAGATATCTTCTGCTTGTGAAGTTTATTCAAGAGCAGGCAAATACAGAGGACTGACGTGTGAACTGTGGAAAATTCAAACTAATGTGAAAGTGAACTTCAACATTTTTTTACCAAAAGGTAACTTGGGGATCGTGTCCAATTCTGTTGTTATGGCTTACATTTTGAAATTCATTTTGAATTCCAACAGCTCATACTTTAGTAAATAATCTTGAAGGTGCTAATGAGTAAGTTCTATTTGTCCATGAGATCATTCAAGCCCACACCACCATTGCAGATTAATGAATAGACTTATAGTTATGTTTATGATGCCAGGAGAACCCTGGCACCATTCCTCAGTGAGGTGGCAAACAGTTTACCGAGCCCCCTCGCATGCTTGCTGAACCAGTATATGGCTTCTGCAGCTCTATGCCAGTTCTGACATTCTTTCCTTGTCTTTCAGCCAATGAGTGAACCTCTGTACAAAGAAAATGTACAGGTTTAACATTACCCACACTCTTGGCTAATGAAGGTTTTCAGAGGTGAAATTATACCTCTGGCAGCAACATAAAATATCAGCACAATATAATTATGTCCATCATTCCATATAAAAAAAGTTGCACTTGCAGGGTCCTTGCACCATGACCACTTCAAAACACTGTGATGTGATTATGGTGCTTTGAGACTTTTTTTTAAATCTGGTTGTAGTTTGAGAACATTGTGGCACCTATGCCCTGCAGTCCTTTAAAGAAGAGGTATGCTTGTGTTGTCATCATTTATCTTGCTCACGGTGCTTGAGGTCTAGCTTTGCATCTATTTTCACTGACACATAGTATGACACGCAGTTGCAAAGCTACAATTATCATAAACGCAGATTCATTTTGAAACACATAAAACTAAACATGTGCATTATAAAGCATAGGTCGAACTATTTTTAAACTGAACATGTGAAGTAAAATGAAGCAGTTGGTATTTGTAGAAAAAAAAATTGTTGTGGTCAGTGATTTCACAATATGATGCATGCAAATTGGGAGTGTTTCTGGGAAAAGATAATATTTATTTAAAAAAAAAAAAATAGAAATTCCCAGAAACATCTTAAAAATAAATATTTCAGGGCATATCTAGCTGAGATGTATAATACTTTTAAGTGCAGCTGCCTTTTGGAAATATTCAATATATTCATAATAATAATAATGTATGCTAGCTATACAGTTTAATTTTACCTTTCCTAGTCCTAAAAGTGAGGATTAATTAATGACATATTGGCATATTTGATCATCATGAAAATATATAGAATTTATTTTTAAAGTTTCGTTTTAATTTCCTATGCTATCCATATGTCTTTAATTGTTGTCAAATTCTAATTTGCTCTGTTCACCCTCTGTCTTTACTGTGCCCCTCCAGGGCTCAAAATGTCACTCGCCCACTAGCAAAATAGTAAAAATTCAGACGTGGGAAGTAGTAAATTCACTCCTTGTGAGTATTCTGTGGACCCTCTAACTTTAAGGCTTGTCTAGTACTATAGGACAATTGAGTTCAAGCCTCTCTATCAAACATCTATATCTTTCTACTCTTATTTCTTTCTTCTCATTACCCATTTCACTCACCCTTTCTTCTTCTCCCCATCCTGTTGAGCTCACTGTTTTTAAAGGCTATCTTCTATGTCTAATCTCTCTTCCATTGCATATCTTGACTAATCCCAACAGTTACACCTACCTCCTCATACTATTTAATTGACAAATACCTTTGGTCAAATTCTGCCACCGACCCACTGATATGTATCCACACTTGGGTTCATATTTTGAGACTAACATATGTGTCTGAAAATATGGCTCAACTCTATATCAGTTCTGCAGTGGCTTGGATTTGGATTCCATTGTCTCTAGTAGACCAACTGCTGGAGATTGAGTCCAGCAACAGCAGATGGGCAAAGATATTTGATATAAAAAGTTTCATTATTCAATAATTTGGCAGGAAGAGGTCAAAGAGGAAATTTAGGGCTATTTATCGGTCAAGCATACATGGCTGCTCTTTCAGGTTTGGAGACATCTTGTGGGGCTGGATCTAGAAAAGCAGAGATTTTTACCTCATAAAATATTTAAATAAATGATGCTATAGATTCAGTGGTTTATCTAAAGAGATAACATTGAATGAGACAGAGTTTATCTTGTATAAATAACTTTGCAGGTAGCATATTTAGCGCGTCCCTTAAAGTTGACATAGCTTTTTCAGAGAGCCTGGTTATTTATCAAATAAAGTATTTTTAACATTACCCAACTACAGTGATACAGTGTTCTTAGAGATTAGAACCGCAGTGATTTGTGGGAAGGTAAAACTGATAAACAATGCTGATGAGAAAACTGTACTTCAAGAATATACAATTCCCTATATCAGCCAACAGACACACAGTGGTTATAACTGGAGATAATACATTTAATGCTGCTCAGATGAAAGAATATTTGTAGGTAATGACTTATTAGTACAAGATTGACATATATTTAATGCCCTAGATGCTATTTAATATCCTTAGTCATTTTGGGTCTGCTGCATGTGGAATAGTGGATAATGTAACTAACGTCTTTTGGATCTTGTGCCTGCATTACATTAGTTCATTAAATGCAAAGACTATTACGAAAGAAAAATCACTAAATATGTGAATGTTTTATACAATGATTATAGAGACTACAATCTCAGAAATAAAGTTTCTTGAACAGTATTGCACATTGTGTGCATTCCCATAATACCTTTTTGCAGATTTTTTTGCAACTTGACCTTTGATACATTGACCCTCCATAATGTTCTTCAGGTTACCACGGGGCAAAGTTATTTGATAGCTGGAACATATGGTTTGCGGGGTCCCATTGGCTCTGCTCTGCTGAAGTATTCTTCTGTATTTTTTATTGCTAGCTATCTTTTATTCTATGCCTGCGTGGCTTTTGACAGTGGTGTTATGTCCTTAATGCCCACATATATGTTTCACTATTTTAGTTATACTTATTAAATTACCAAAGTTAACTGAAAGGTTTGATATTGCCTCAGTTCGTCACACAAACTTACACACTTGGTTTCATGTTGGTAAATGGACTGCACAGAAGGATATATGAGTATCTTAAAACAACAAAGGAGGAATTTAGGACCGCACTAGGTTAATGGTTTCATATGATACATAAACGTAAAATGCATTGTATGGAATTAATTTTTGTTCATGTTTGATATTGGGACCGGAAAGGCCCTAAAAATTGGAAAACAACACCAAGAAGCACATTACAACCAGTATACCTGACATACCTTTAAATCTTCTCTGTACAACGAATTGTATTATATGTTGATGACAGGCCCCTGCGCGGGCCACTTCATGTTGTTAAGTGGCACTTGGTGTTGAAACAAAAATAAAGAATTAAAAAAAAAAAACAACAGACTGGGTAATTTAACCCCTTAAGGACTGTTTTAGCCATTTTGTACGTTAAGGACAAGGGCTGTTTTAACACTTTTGTGGTGTTTATGTTTAGCTGTAATTTTCTTCTCTCTCATTTACTGTTCCCATACAAATTATATATAGTTTTTTTTCTGAACAAGAAGGGCTTTCTTTACATACCATTATTTGATTCATGTCATATAATTTACTTTAAAAAATAAATAAATATGGTAAAAAAAAATTTTAAAAAACATGTTTTTTGACTTTTACTTGATAAATCCTTTACTTACCTACGAAAGCTAATGAAAAAAACTGCTAAATAGATTAAAAATTTTGTCCTGAGTTTAAAAACACTCAGTGTTTACATGCTTTTTTGCTTTTTTTTTTCAAGTTATAGGGCTATAAGTACAAGTAGGTCATTGCCGTTTCAAAATATATATATTTTTAATTTATCAATAGTGACATTGTAACACTGTTATCTGCCACATATCTCTAAATCACACCTCGCATGTACATATTTTTTTTAAATTAGAGAACCCAGAGTATTTAATATGGAGTATGTCCAGTCTTCTTTAGTAGCAACTTAGTCACAAACACTGGCCAAAGTTAGCATTTATATTTGTTTGTGTGTTAAAAATGCAAAAAACTACTATGAATGCTAACTTTGGCCAGTGTTTGTGACTAAGTGGCTACTAAAATAGCCTGAACATACCCCATTTGCAATACCTTTGGTTGTCTACTTTTGCAAATGGTATGCCATCATGGTGGGCAATTCTCATACGTGGGCTACCATATGCTCTTAAAGGCAACATAAGCAATCTGGCAAACAGAACAAATGGAAAATCAAGCCTTATATTTGACCCTGTAACATTCAAAAACACTATAAAACATGTACATGGAGGGGGTACTGTTATACTTGGGAGACTTCGCTGAACACAAATATTAGTGCTTCAAAACAGTAAAACGTATCAGTGTTTGGGTAAGTAATTGTGACGGTTCACGACCGTCATCAGTCCTCAAGGGGATGTTTCTGATGACGGTCCTGAACCGCCAGCGGTTGATAAGGGGTTAAGCTGACTTTTTATTACATTAAGATGAAGTGGCCTGAGTGACTTTAGTGATTCTTTAATGAATGTGCTTTTAAACATCAACCATGTTATGAAATTCAATATAAACTTTGTGATTTTAGCAAGCATTATATATGGTCTGATTCACAAAACTCTAGCTGATACAAGGTATGGCCATGTTAAAAAAGTTTTTTTTAAGATCACCTGACTTATTGTAAGCTTGATGATCTAATCAAAGCAGCTAATGTCTTGCAATCAACTGACTAGTTACAAAAGGCTCTAACAGTGAATTATTTTCACAGTTGAATGTTTGCAACTGACTTGAACTTACTGGTTGGTTCGTGTAAGGTAATATTAAAAAAGATACATGAACCTAACTCTGAAAACTTGATGTATATTTGATGTCCCATGTTGGCAAGCCATACGTTAAAAAAATTGAACAATGTCTCTTAACCCCTTAAGGACACATGACGGAACTATTCCGTCCTGATTCCATTTTATTCCAGAAGTTGTGTCCTTAAGGGGTTAATCACCATCAGATAAATAGTTATACATACTAAATAAATAAATAATCACATATAGGAACCCCAAAACCGCCATGCAGCCAGGTGGCTACTTTCCCATGATTCTCACAAAGAGCCCTTCTAATGCTGTAGGGCACAGTTTTATAATAATGAATACGTGCTTCATATCCTCCCCCTTGTTCCTTCTTCCATTCTGTGAGCTTTGGTATTGGAGTAAATAGAATATATTAAATGTTGCTGTTTCATGTTGGTAAATAGACTGCATAGAATCTTAAAACAACAATGGACTGGGTAATTTAAGATGAATTTCTATTATATATAAACTTTACGGAAGACACTATTTAGCAGTATGAAGGGAAAGTAAAGGAAGGGAAAGTAAAGGAAGGGAAATAAACATTTTATTGTGATATAGTTTATCTATGGGGCTGATTATAACCCTGGCATATTGATACATAGGGAAGAGGGGATAAACTATGTAATACATCCTTCTGGTACTCTGTGATTGGAATGGCTGATCACACAATTTAGTGAAGGAAAAAGTAGGCATTAATTTGGTACTCTGCTTAATACAAGGATCGTTAGTTGGTTGGACTATTGTTTACCATCTTGCTAGTAATATATTGGGTAAACATAATGTCAATCTATTTAAGTAACAAGGGTTCTGAACAGTACTTATTATATTACTCTGCATCACACAACATAGTGAGAAAGCCAGTCACTTATTAATTTTATCCATGATGTAAAGTAATAACCTTTTTTACATTGATTCATTAACTCATGTATTGTTCTTGACTTGGTTGTCTGTTTTAAAGATATATCATCCACTTTGGGGAATTCAAGCAGTACTTCTGATTTAGTGTCCAACATAAGCTCTATCATTTAAATGCTGGAACAAGAAGCACTCGTTGATAATTAAGTCCAGTCAAATAATAAATAAAAAAAAAGTAAATGGTGGGAAACATCCAGTTAAAGCGCATACAGTCAATTTTCTTTTTAGATGCTCAGGTATTAAGGGTTACTCCAAACATCACTTTAGTAACTTGAAGTGGTTTTAGTGGTAGGAGTCAGTATGTGCAGTGTTTGAGCTTGAAACACTGCACATACTGAGATATTTTTAATTGTGTGCTGGGGGCTAGTTACACCCCCAGAACATGACATTAGCATCCCAGAAATTTGTAGTGGGCTGGTGATGTCAATTGTGTGCGTAAAATATGTCTGTCATCAGTGTGCACTTCCCACTGCTAGCAGAACTGAATCTAGGTCTACCTCTGCATTCCATCACACCTCACTCTGTCTTAAAATAAGAATCCTCCTTCACCCCACTCCATCCCATCATTGACCTGGATAGTGTGCTTGCTGGAAAAATGGTCCAATCACCATTATGAGAAGCTTATGGTTGGATTTTGTGAGCCCCTGTGATGATGGAGGGTGTGCAGAATATCAGTGCCTGGAGCTGCAAGCTGCATTGGCCTTGAGTGAGTGAAACCTTTTTTTCAGGTTTTACTGCAAATCGATGGGAGGGGGACGAGGCTTTTCTGTAGTTCTTTGGACTGGAAAGGTCCCCCCTCTCAAAAGGGTAATAGTAACCCTTTACTTTTTAGGTACAAAATTACAAAACTATTAAATTATTTAATATTTGAATTAAAAGTTAATATTTTATATTTTGGTACTTGTATTGTATTTAAGCATACCTTGACAGATCATATTATTTCCTGGCTTTGAGATAGCATTGTAATGACAGATGAACATAAGAACAATTCTTTACCTAATTCATTTATACACCAAATTTCTTCAGCAATTATCCCATGATTATATTTTGATGAGTCACACAAAAATAATCTATGCCTACCTTGACAGATCATGTTATAATACTTATGTTTCAAGTGGTATTGCAATGACAGATGAACAATAGAACTAAACTTAGTTTAATTCATTTAATTCATACACTGATTTTCTTTAGCAATTATCTCATGATATTGTTCTGATGAGTCATATGCGTGTAATTAAGGCCATCCTTTAGTTCATCATGACAAGCTATTAGCACAGTTTGTGGGGATTTTATAGACAGTATTATCACATTCAAGTTGTCTTGTTTTTCTGCATAACCGTGTAGTTTACTAACTGTTACATATGGATTGCACTACTTTTATTGTTCATACAAGTTAACAGTACATTTATTTATATATTTTACAGAAATCATGTTACCTTATGGTCTGTAATAGGTAGATGGGTAACTTAGAGGCCAAACTGTATCTTGGATCAATGATGGAACTACTATGTTTGCCAGAGTGACTTCTTGGCTGCCCTGTCGACCCTAGCTGATGCACAGGGCCAGTCTTGTCCATCAGAAAATCCTGGTGGGCCGGCATAACTTCAGGGCCCGGGGCAAACAGTCGCTGCATGTAGTGTGACCGCGTGAACTGCAGTCTGACAGGAAGGGCTCACTGAGAGCAACGAGCACTTCCTGTCAGACTGGGTACCGCTGTCCACTAGGCCAAGATACATGAAGGTGAGCAGGTGCAGGAGGGAAGGGGGATAGACACATGGAGGAGCTGAAGGTGGAGGATAAGACACAATAAAGAGCTGGGGGGGGGGACGAGATGCACGGAGGAGCTGAGTGGAGAAATGAGATACATGTTGGGGGGACCCAGGGCAATTTTAGTACAAGGGCTCAGTGGGTTTTAGTTACCCCTCTGTCTTGGATATTATATTACATTTGGACAGAGAACACCCAAAAAGTTGGGTACCTTGGGACTCACAAAGAGTCATAGTTTAGAACTCAGGAAACCAAAAACTCCTTTGTTAGAAACCATTAAAGGAACAGAACTTTGATTATTTTTTCATTTCCTGGTATAGCTAGAGAATGCTATGTAACTTTATTAAACCTTGTTATGCCATGGAGTCAACCTGGAAGTTCATATATGCATACAGCACTTTAAAAAGAATGCCCAAGCAGGCTTCATTGATTTGATTACCTAGACCTGGAAAAAGTACCCCAGCAACTGTTGAAATATATTTAATAAAGAGAGAGAATGAAGAACTACAACTATCAGAAAAGTAACAGTTCCTCTTTAAACAATTTACTGTGCTATCGCCTTATTTTGTTCCTTACATAATACTTCTCAAAGGTTTCCGTGATGGGATTCTATTAGTTGACAATCTGTAACAAACCAGTGTGGTGGGCGGTAAACCATATGTAATTTCAACATGTTGCCTACATTACATGGGATGGGACACAATATATACATCATTTACTGGGTTCCTGCTTGTCGTATTATGTTTTTTTAAAACTAGTTACATAATTATGTGTAATATATATATATATATATATATATATATGTTAATATATGAACTGTGTAAAAACAAATTGAAATAATAATAACAAAAATAGCAATAACATAAAATGCTTCATTATATAATTTTAACAAAATGTTCTATCTTTGCAGGGAGTTGGAAGTGTTTTGTACATGTAGGGCAGGGATAGGCAACCTTTGGCACTCCAGATGTTGTGGACTACATCCCCCATAATGCTCTCATACCCTTAATGCTGGCAAAGCATCATGGGAGGTGTATTGCAAAACATCTGGAGTGCCGAAGGTTGCCTATGCCTGATGTAGGTTTCCACATTCATTAAAACCTTTACTTTTACTATTGTACTAGACAGTCTATATCAAATCACTTAAGTCCATTTTCCATTTAGCCAATGATATTCCCAAGTATTACCATGTTTTTAAATAGTAGCTGTGAAGAGAACAAGTTAGTGGTTTTTCAGGTTCAGTATGTAAAATATTGTTCTAGAGCGACATTCACTTAATGCAAAGTGAATTTTGGATAGAGTTACTTAAATAAACGCAAGACCGTTGTTATTATTGTATAATTGTTGCTTTAATAAATACAAGACCATTGTTAGTACCCTTGCTCTTTCCTCCTCTCCAAGTGGTGGCAGATCTTTTGTTTCTTACACATATGATTCACAGTCATGGCATATTATATGACTAAATGCATCTGCGGCAATGAGGGTGAGGTAGCTTGGTTTGCTAGAATGCGAATGACTGATGCTGCACTGTTATTAAATAAAGCACTGAACATTACTAGGTAGACAAGAAACACTTGAAATTTAATGGTGGGATGTAAAGGCGTGTACTTCTGCTCCAGAAAGCTATTGTGACTCTCTGTAGTATGCAAGAGGAAATTTGCACATCAGAGGACTCTTGTGTCATAAGAGTATTGGTGCTTTGCATTGCTGGTTCCATTCCTAGTATAAATGTCATTGACTAGGTGAATGCAGCTGTGCCTGTGTGGGGCTAGGGAAGGCCAGCTATGTGCTAGATGGGTTACTTTCAAATTGGAGTGGGACGCATCCACTGTGAACATTATATTATAACTAAATAAAAATGATTTCACTGTATATTCCATGAAGTCTGGATAAATACAACCACTGTTTATGTTCTTAATTATGGGCTATTACAATTCAATATGGCTGTTTTTCCAGTCTGTATTTTTTTTTTTTTCTATTAGTGATTTTTTAGTATCATTATGTTTCCTGACTTTTATGCTAATGGTACCCACTCCAGTGCAATCATTTAAAAAAATAAATAAAATATATATATATATATGTACCAAAAAGATGGTGGTGAGGACAAACACAATCTTACCTCAATGCACATGCAAACATATTACTGTTTTACAATGCCTGCATTTCTCACATTGGATTTTGTGTTTGTCCTCACCAAATTTTTACTTTTACTTTAACACATTTTTTACTTTTTGGTACCTAGCTATCTACTCTCAGAGAGACTTTAACTTAAACAGACCAGAACCGGCGCCATGCTGATGAGACCCACAAGGCTGAAACTGCAGTCCACAGCTGGTCACTGAACTTTTTGGATAATAGCCCATGTTTTAATTAAAAAACCCTTCTTTAAACCAATGTTAATTTCTAAGGGTATTTGTATAAATGCAGTATGATATGACAATGCCTGTCTGTGTTCATTTGAAAGCTAGGAACTGTGGGATATAATATATAAATATATTAAAACTAAAGGAGGGGTGCACTCTGAGGTCTTTTCAAAATACAATGGTGTTTATTCAAGGAAACAAAATTCCCTGTGCTTGACGACCCTTCGGGTCTTCCTCAAGATTTGTGAGTATATATATATATTTCACACACATATATGTCTGGGTGTGTGCATTTGTTATTTAAAATATTTACAAACCTTGTTTTCAATGTCCCTTTAATCAGTGACAGTGCCTTTATTTATCCCTGTCACTCTTTAATTTGTGTTATGATAAACAGTACAAAGGTATAATTTATTTTAATTACAAAAATATTTGTACTATAAGAAACATATAAATAAATTTAACCAGAAATTGACTTACTGTAATATCACATATATTTAATTCATACATTATCTTCTGTAGTACTTTGAAACATAGATACACTATCAGTGCAATAAAATGATTATTTTTCTAACCTTTGAAATTTTTCTTGGGAATGAAGATTTAAAAGTCAACACATGCAAAGTTTTTACAAGGGCACCGATCACCGGTCATTTTAATATTAAAAGTAAACACATGGCAATAGATCTAAAAAAAAGCTGGCACAATATACATTGCAGTTCTGATAAACATGTATACAAAGAAACAGACGAAAAGCATTATAAATGTTGTGCAGCTGTTACAAACTCACAGGGTTGAATCATTTGCCAAAAATAAAAAGAAATATCAAAGAACATTTTTTATCTTCTGAGAAATGATAAATGCTTCTGTACATACAATATTCTTATTAACAGGTCCTAAAAAGGTCACATTTGCTTAATGAACGTATTTATTTCATTCTTCAGCTGGTACAATTTTAAAGAATGTGCCTCTACAAACATTTCGCAAATTATCTATAAATCTATATATACGTGTGTGAAACTGATATCATTCTTAAACTCACGAAATGTAAGGACTTTTGATATTTATATTTTGAAGGATACTTTTAAAAAAATAAATAAAAAGTAGTACATTTACTATGTTTATTTAATGAGATTGTATAAATTGCAAAGAGCACTTTACCCATATTTATTGCTTGCAGATAGAGATACAATTAGCATTCTGGAACACATGAGATAGCCTGTGATCACATTTTCCACTGTATGTTGTAATGATGATATGTAAACACTAGAAAAGGAATTTACACTGAAGCAATCTGCTGACAATCTGTAAACTAACTTGAGAATATTGTAATCTTTACCAAGTAGGGCTCTCTGTGCTGGCTGTTTTTATCTGGTTAAATGTTCTGTATGATTTAAAAGTATGTAAGGTGTTTTCATGATGGTATTTTATTTACCATCCTAACCCACAAAACATGGGATGGGGGAAGTGATGAAGTGCAATTGCTGTGCTTTTCAATATTTTTTTTTTCATTAATCGACAGTTTGCACAATTGTGCAAATAGGTGAATCCCCAGTTTATTTTTTAGACCCTACACTACCGTGCCTGGTGTGAAGGATTGCGAAAACATCCGCGCAGCTGCGTTTTTGTTTTGGTTTTATAGATGGCAAAAATATTAAACTGTAAATCTAATCATAGTAATAAATATGCGACTTTGTGGGCAAAATTCTTTCAGTTTTAGGTACAATAGAAATTGTGCCAGGTTTTATTGAATATTTGAAATCCTTCCTACATGCTTTGTAATAAATTCATTTTAAAATGGAAACTGTAACAAAATACAAAGTGTGTGTCCGTAAATTAAGGGAATGTTATACTGGTGATATTTCCTTGGACACTAGTACAGTCACAGCTAGACCTTAGGTGGGGAATTAGAATATAAAAGAATCACAATTCTTTTACAAATGCATTTTAAATTGTACATTGTGGATATCTACATAGTATCTAACGACTACAATACATTGAGGTTAAATTTATTTATATTTATGATTTATACAATTTATAGCTACCCTATAAATGTCCTAAAAATGTCACTGCTTTTTATGAGCTGCAGATCTATAGTAGATTTGCATCTATATCTTTAGACTTATTAACTTCTTTTGTTAAGTAAACATGAAAACAATCAAACAATCTAGGTACAATCAAAAGAAAACACGGAAGCATTGTGGTGTTATACCATACATAGGAAGGGGCAAGTGCTCCTTAAATTATTTAAACTATATGGTTTTTATGTACTTCGGAAAATTATATATTCCCTCTTGTGTGGAATCACGGAATTAAAGGTGATGGGAAGATAACATAGACTTTTATAACAAAGAGTTACATAGTTATATATACGATAAATAGCTCATGATTCTAGTTTTTCATATAAAAAAAAAATAAGCTTTCAAGGATAATTTCTTTTGAGTGGGTCCACTAATGGGCAGACAAGGCTATTATATTGAAATCTGTCCTTTATGCATCCTTCTGGCAGTAAATCTGTTCAGACCAACTTCGCTATTTTAAATAGATGGTTCATATAGGGTACACACATAATATTTAATACAATGTTTTAAAATACAAAGTATAATTAAACTTCCCTCAAGTAGGATATCTTGGTTGATCCTTAGAATGTAAGTTTATTTGAATAGAGCGCTCACAACTTTCTGGTCTCGTGTGTCCACCTAGTCTTGTTGCAACACCTTGTTTGTTAATCTGTTTGCTGTACAATGATGCACAATATGCTGGAACTTTGTATCTTCTACTACCACTACTACTTTTACTGCTGCTACTACTACTACTACTAATAATATTAATAATAATGTTAATAAAATAATATGCAGGATAGCATGCAAATATTTACTTTAACTTCTACTATCATATGAATGACAGGATGGAGGCCAATGGACTGTTCTCTAAATTCGTATTCTCTTATTAATGGTAGTTGAATTATCTATAAGTAGGAAACTATACAAAAATGGTACGAAAATGATATCCGAGAAGCCATGCCTACCTCTCCACATCAGGACTGAAATAAGTCCCATCATTATATCTGCAACTTTCATTTTTTTAAAGTTATTCCTTAAATATAACTTTCATCTGTGTTTTGCCTGTATGTATGACCTCACAGTATATGTTTTTTTTTCTTGTTTCTTTTTCTGTGCTGTGAACCATTGAAGAACGTATGCTTTTATTACTATTTTCCCCCTTTTGAAACAATCTTGGAAGGTTTACTATTTCTAACTGGCCTGTGTGACAGCTTATTTTTAGAGGCCATTTTGGTAGTTTGGATAATCGTTGCTTGTGTTAGATAAATGTGCATATTGAATCTCCACCTCTGCGAAGGAGAGGCTAATAAGATGAAATCTATAACTTTTCAACGTATTGGCTATTTCCTGTGTTACTATCTCTGCACTGTGAGAGAGTCAATTTAATCAGTATATTTAGAAAATGTATGTGTTCTAGATCTAATTCTGATATAATCTGTTAGATATAACATTTGTAAAAAGCTTCCTATTAAAGAGCAATTCAAGATTATGTAAAATATGTAACATATCTGTTGATATATTCTCATATTTTACATGGAAAATGCTCTTTCATTTGCAATTTTAAATGAGTTATTTCACTTTATGGGACAGGAGTGTCTATTAAAGTAAGATGTTTACCACCTACCCAACCACCCACAATGACAAAGGTTCTCTTTCTTTTCCCATCAATGGTATCAACTTTCCTACACTAGGAACATTTTAGAATTGACAAAAGAATTGGCAATTTCAGGCTAATGCAGCTGAATTGAAAATAATAATAATAATACAACTCACCTATTTTTCCAGATGGGACATTTTGGCTACAATTTGTAATTTCCTTTCAGATCTCCGTAATTCCCATTGTAAAGAAAATCCGTATTATTATTATTTTTACATTTTTATTTTTTATTACTAGTATTATTATTAAATTTGTATTTTTTTTCCATTTAAATTCAGCATGTAACAATAGTTACAGGATTACTTTTTTCTTGTGTTTTTAAACTAGTATTGGGAGTACTATACATTTTGTTTAAAAAAACACTCAGTACTGTTAGGAGACTCTCTACTCAAAGCACATGACATTGTCTATAAGAGGCCAAGTCACTGTGAAGACTAAAACATCTTTAATATTCTTTATGTTTGTGTTGGATGAGCAATGGTATAAGATGTATGTGCTCAACCATCTGTTTATACCATCTTGCTGCACTTCTCAGATTATAACTCCAGCATGTGATTATACTGTCACTCTTTAAATTCTTTTGGGGGCAAAATAAATCCAAGATTAGATCTGGGTGAGGATCACTTAATACAAATCTTGAAATCGTTTGTGGCTTGTCATCTGTAACTTTAACAACATTAAGAGATTAAGCCATCTGCTTGGTGATGTAGTAATACAACATATAACTAAATTACTGTACAGTACCAAAAAAAAAAAATACACAAGTGATTCATAAATCTGAGCCCTGGAGTTGTGGATTCATAACTACAAAGTGCCAAAGGAGGATATATAGCAACTATTTGGCTTAAATGGCAGGCTCTTTATATGTCCTATTAATCTAATGAGTAATCTTGTACTAAAGTTAAAAGCAAATTTCTGGACATAAGTTTCATGTTATAATATTAGAATTCAAAAATATTTATCTAATTTCATTCCCCTTAAAGTATCTATCTTGTCAATGCATTTTCTTCAATTGTTAAGATTTGAAAGGTTACTCTGGATGAAAATGCATCCGATAGACGAGCGATTTCTAACCCACATCATCGGTCCAGGTTTTCATACACTCCCCCTAGCATCAGAACTAGGAAAAGCCTAAATCCTGGAGCGTTGGTTTGCTTTGGGGATTGAGAACCATTGTGATAGAGTAAAGATCGATTTCAAGATGACAGTAGCATAGAGTTTGGAAATAAGAAAAAAAACTAAAAAAGTAATATATATATATATATGTAATGGTCCGTACCTCAATCCTATAGTTTCTGATGGGTTTCATAAAGGAGAACTGTCACCCCAATACTATCTTTTAGAGATAGAGACTATATAGAGGTTTTCAAACACTGTCAAACCCAAGGGGTAACCCAACCAAACCTAATGTTATTGAATAATTATGCAGTATATTATGAAATAAATGATTAGGACATTGAGAATTGGACACTGGATACATCAGATTTGGTTGTTAATTTTCCAGCTCAGTATAGTCTCCTGTTCTCAACAACTGAATACATGCGAATGATGGGAAGTTAAAAGTAACCTTCGGTTTAGTTGGGGGAAACTTGCCCTGAAAATGTGCACAGAAAAATTCAGCGATTTGTTTGTACACTTTTTATCCTGATGAAAGATCAGTGAATAATTTGAAATATTTATCGAATAATAGTTAAGTTTTAATGTTTGGAAGAAGAGTGCTATGCTTTGTTGAGAATACATGACTATCCTGCTGTATTAAGCACCAGGTTAAGTGGGATTAAACATATGTATGAGTGCACTTTTTGTGATTTCTAATAATAATAACTAGTATTCATGTAGCACCTTTCTTCCAGTGGGACTCAAAGTGCTTTTCAGCACATGCTCTTGGAATTAACCAAATCGGCAGCTGAATAGTAATAGATGTTATTATTACCCACCAATTGATGGTATTCATTTTATCGACCTCGGAAGGATGAAGGCATGAGTTGACCCTGCCTGGATTCGGACCTGTGACCTTGCATTTTTGAACAGGCTTTGTAGTCAGGGAAGCCAAGTGAGCTACCTCACCGGCTATATATATATATATATATATATATATATATATATATATATATATTGTTCAAGTAGAGATCAGTATCAGATATATATATATTCACCTTGGGTCAGACAGTGTTTGAATTAGACATCATTCTAATGGTGTCACTGGATTGTGCAGTTTATATATAAAAACAAATTAAAGATGTTTGTATAGAATCAAGACTTTATATTGTCTGAAATCAATAAGCTGACACGTTATTACACATTTTTGTAACAAGCAAATGTTTTCTGTTGTTGCTACACTTTCACATACATTGTGCTAGCCAATCAGATGAATAGAGATAAAGTAATGTATCTAGTGTTATTACCAGTAAACTTCCTTTGCCAGTGTGGTAAACTCACATCGTGACGGTGGCCATCTTGAATGAGACTCATTCAGTGTTTGGTTAAGAATATTTATCATATTCAGTTCCTGTAGATTTCACATTTAGTATTAAAATTAATAGCTTAATGTAATTCCTTTACATGTGGATTTTCCAAGTAATATAACCTGTTGATCAAACGGAATTGACAGAAGCTTCACAAAAACACCCACAAACATTTGTTCTAAAATGACACATTTTGAACTGTAATATAGCATTTATATAGAAAATTATTTGCCCCTTAAAATATACAGGTTTAACAAATTTTGTGGGGGGGATATTCACTAAACAGGGCATTGTTAACTAAAATTACAGGCGAAGTGCACAGTTTAAGTCGAAACAAAAAAAATGGATAAATTAGGAAAATTTTGTTTGTTTTTTTAGTTCAGGTATTTAAATTCAATTAAAATACCAAGAAACCTCATTATTGTTTTTAGTGACAGTTTTCTGCTGTATCTATTTGTTTGCATTAAGTTTCCCAGCAATACCAGCTTATTCTTTCTAGAAAAGTATTTGTTCCAAGCAAGATACAGTTAAATTTAGGAAAGGTCATTTTGTTCATGCCCCTAGGGATAAAGCTTTGTACAATTCCACACTTCTCTGGAATCTCTGTGTGTATATTTCAATCTCTGTACATGCAGAGATCAGTATGGAGTTGTGCTATTAAATGATAATATACTGAAAGGAATTGCCACAGATTCTGTGCGAATATTCCCGAGTCATATTAATTGCCACCCCTCTGAACTCTACTCTAGACTATCATCATACCAATCCAAACAGTTGAACAATTCATCTTCTGATGTGACATGGAATGGGTTAAATTAACATTACCCTTCTACAGAAGTGTAATGTGAGGCTGGAGGTTAGAACAACAGTGACCTACTTGCTTGACACATGTACTGCAATTGAGAGAAGATCCTGTATGTTACATCATTCTGTATATTGAAGAGCACAATGTAAACATATTCTATATCAACCCAACTGTTATATGGCGTGCAGCTACTGTTTTAGACATTCACACCGGTTCTATAGCATAGTATTTTATAAATTGAGAAACAGGAATGCTTACCTTTCACCAAGTTTGTCATATGTGCTATTTTGGAATTTTCCCAAAACAGGATTCAATATGCGACCTTGTAATTCAGTGAATCATATAATTTAATAAACATGCAGTATTAGCATATTGTATACCAGATGTAGGTTTAGTTGAAGAGAGGACAGAGATTCATCTCCACAAATCCCTCAGGGTTAAACTTTTTAGACTTAACATCTATCATAGGGCATTCAAGAATGAGTCCTATTAAAACATAACAAGACTTTTGAGTAAGTTGTAACATCTGCAGAACAGATGGAAACTAATATAAAACCTGCCAACATTTTTTGGGTCTCCATCCCTTTTTCCACCAGAGAAAAACCATGAAGGCCTTTCTTCATGTGATGTGAAAAAAGAGTGAAAGGTCAGAATGGGATGGTATCTCCCAGCCTGGATCCCAAAAGGGCTATTAAACAAAGATATTTCCAGAAACAAACATAAAAAAATAAAGAGATTTACTGCATTTTAAATTTTAAAGAAGACAAGATGTTTGGAGAGGTAAAAGGTAAAAAAAAAAAAAAAAAAATCCTGCAAATTTATGCACAAGAATAATATTTTTAAATGCTTTAAAAATGCTTAACATTAAAACGCAATAAAATACAAAATATAACAAATAAAATATTTTAAGATTACTATTAAAATGTAAGCTGGAGAGTAATAAAAAAAAATGTTACAAAGTTCATCACAAAATATATGTTTGCTACTAACACAATAATATTAAAAAAAAACTTAGAGGGACGGTCCCAGAAGTATTTAACTTGATATTTTTTTTTCAAGTTTTTTTTTTAATTATTGAATAAAGTAAAGCAGACATGGTGTAAACAAATAGACAGTTGAGTGGGAATAAAACCAGCTTTTACATAACACAAAACAAAGACAACATAGTTAATCAAGTATAAGCAAAACACAGAAAGAAAATATTGAGAAACTAAAAAAGAATTGTCAGCAAAATAATAATAATAATAATAAGTAAAATACCTATAGCTTTTAATATACCATATTTATAGCTATTTAATATACCAATCAAGAACTGAGAAAACATAATAAGAATGTCAGTATGAGGCACAAATTATTACAAATAAAAATGATCGTATATAAACAAGTAAACATAAAGGAGCTAAAAAAATAAAAAATAAAATAAAAATAAACAATAACTAAAAAATCTACACCTCACCAGCGTACAAGCTCATAATACTCACATACAAAATAAGAAATAAAAAGATGTGCTGTGTCTATAAGACAGTAGACAATAAAAATGATCACATTTGAATTTGATAGGAAGGAAAATATGACTTACCAGAAAAAAACCAGCACCAAAAAACTAATACTTAAAGTGTTACTCCAAGCACCATGACCGTGGTGTCAGGAACTTTATATGCAGCACATTGCTTTGCAATATTTCATACAGAAATTAACACCATTGGTGACTGGGGTATAACTCTACCTCGGGCAGCTTCATTAGCAAACCTAGAAAAATGTTCTGGGCTGGCTAATGTCAATTCTGTGCAAAACTGGCATCTGACACCAGCTCGCACAGCATGCTGGCACAAGTCAGTCACCCCAGTGCCGCCCTTACCCTCCTCAGTCCATCTTCCTTGATATCTCTTCCTTGATATTTTTGTGTTGGGGGGGTGGGGAGGGGAGTGGGTGAACCAGCACAGAAGGAGTTACCAAAATCTGCTTTGAAAAAAATTCATTTTGGTTGAAGTAACAAATTTATACAAAATAACCTTTAAATAAACCAAATAGTTGAACAATCCATTTGACCATTCTTGGTTTAGCTTTGCATGAAATATGTATAATAAAAGGAGTATTTAATGCCTATTTCAATTCGAGATTGTAAACTCACAGGCTATCTTACTTAGCGGTTTGTAAGTGTTGCAAATGTCAGTCTAAAGTCCATGTGCAGGGATCTTTACTTAAGTTAAGCCAAAATGATCAATACCTATGATAAACTGTTAAAATGTTTTAGGTAAATAAGAGGGTTTCAGAATAAAATACATAATGATATGTTCAAGTAAGACAACTGACAATAAACTTAAAAGTCAGGTATGAAGTAAATTCAATGTCAGTGTGGTCTAAGAAATACAAATGTAAAAACGTTTTAGAAGCAACTTTTGTTTAAAGTTTCTTTTGTTCAAAACAAAGATCAAGGTATATTTTTTGTTGACCAAAGCCTGATGTCACAGCATAAATGTGCCAAATTCTTTTTTTTCTGTCATAATTAACAGTGACAAAAAGAAATGTTAGCCAGTAAAATAGATGAGAGCCAAACATAGTAGTCATGAAGAAATCTCAAACTTGCCATTGTGACAAATTACTATTTTCAAGCATGCAAATTAAAGCTGCTTAGAAAGTAGCCTTCCCTTTGATCTTGGTATGGTGTAACGTTTAAATGACTGTATGCATATATGTGTGTCATTTTTATTTATATTCGGCTAACAGGTGTTCACAGATCTTAACATCTAACATTGGATTATATGGCAGGTACAGATATAGATATTATAACAGTCAGTAAAATAGGTATGAAGATACAAGGGATAACTGCAATAAGCAATAAGTGCAGCTGTGAATTATGACACCTCTGGTTTTTACATATGGTTTTAGTTTATATTTTCTGCTATGCAATATTTAAATATATTTAAGTTAGTCCTTGAAGTGGTGATGGGTTGATTCTTGGCAAACGCAAGATCAGAGAGAGTTCTGCATATACATGATGGCAACAGAGAATTAGAGTCCGTTAATAATTTAAAGGAACACTCCCGATCCCTAAAGCATTTTACTTGTTGAAGTGCTTTATGTGGGAAGTGTCCTCTTTTTTTCATTTTATTAAAATTGCACATTTCAATAAAATTGGCTATCTTGTAAATTAACCTTGTTATAACCCCCTGGCTGTCAATCAGACAGCCGCACCCTGGTTGTCTAGCTCAGTAAAACTAAACTCAAAAGGCAGACAATTGCTCAGAGCACCTGACATGCAAAGACTTCTCACTGAGCTGCTTTGAAAGGTTTGTGATTGGACAGCCACAGAAAGTCTGGGCAGGGAAAAAAGGGTAGGGCTTGCAAAAGCTTTAGACAAAAATATGGAGCTTTTGCAAACTGTTTCTAGATACATATTATTTTGTACCATATTACCTGGGTATACTGTTGGTGCTGCATATTAACCCACGATTGGTTTACAGTAATATGGTCTGTGCCAGCTTATCTGCTTGGTATTGTATGTTTATAGATATACTCTGAAAGAAAAAAAAATACATAATTAAATGAATAAATGTTTTCACTGGGGGTATATCTACTCATGATTTTATTAATTTATTTATTTTCATTTGGGCAGTAGAGTGTTCCTTTAAAAAAAATGCACAGTATATATTATATTACCTGGAGTGTTTATATCACCTGGAGTGTTTATATCCCTTGGATAATGCAATATGTGTAGGTTAATGCAGAGAGCCACATATTTGGATTCTTTTATACATAATCACTTATTAAGGACAAATTGGAATTTAATTTCTATCAAATTAGAGAACCAGATAGCATCCTTTATTTATATTACACTCTATAATGTTTAATTTAAACATGTGCCATAAGTCTGTATAATGGGAGGTTTTAGTCAAAGCACATAGTGTAATTATATATCATACATACTTTTATGTTGAAAAAACAAACAAGCCACAAAACACAAAACAGAGTGAAAACAAGTACATACATGCATATGACAACAAATCGTCAGTTTTAACTCTAAAGAGCAAGGTAATTGGCTGAACTATTCCACCCAAATAATGTTACTTAATTTCTCACTGATTTTATGACAATTATTTTTAACAAAAGCCATAATTTACCCATTACTTTTTAAAGGAACAACTTCTGCCGGCGAGTTATGCTAAAATTATATAATTTCACATAAATGTTTATTGGCTACAAAAAGATAAATGCATTCCAAACAAACACTATTTATTTCCAAAAATAAGCATTGTAACTAGCTTGAATTGTGTAATTGTCCCCTGGGTAAATTTGCATTGTATGAGAAATCTCAATTTGACAAGGCTTTCATCAGTTTATGCAAATTATTAAAATGGTGGGTCAGATGTAGGTTTTGCTGAAAAGATAAACAATTTCAGTGTTTATAAATGTGTTATAATTTGTCTTATTTAGGCTGTTTCTTTTTTATTATAATAATTTTGGGGTAGTTTTTGGGTATTTTGCCATTTTGTTGAATGTACTTTAACCAACACCACATGCTTCAATAAGAAATCTGTTTTTCTATTTTTAGGGACTTTTATTTTCCAAAAGCAAGTTGTCGAGATTTTGTTGGGATACAGCTTGTTTACAAATTTGCTTCACTCAAGTAACACATATCTGTTTGTTTTTTTTTTTTAAATATATATATTGCAGATTCTCAAGAGGGAAGCTATAAATCAGATTTAAATAGTAAACCGCGCAAGGAGAGGACAGCATTTACAAAAGAGCAGATCCGAGAACTTGAAGCTGAATTTGCCCATCATAACTATCTGACAAGGTTGAGAAGATATGAAATAGCAGTAAACTTGGATCTCACTGAAAGACAGGTACGCCTCTGAAGTTTATAGGACTGGTTTAAAATCCAATGTCTGTTTAGAAAAACAATACAATAGGATAATGAAAAAAAATACAAAAAAAAATCTTTGTCTTTATCTATCTAGGTTGATAGCTTGTGTATCATGTGTCTGGATTGGTGAGACCAGGCTTTCTTGATGCCTCTCTCATTAGTGAGAAATCATAGAAATAACTATATTAAAGGCCACTAAGGCAACATTGGAGACAGCATTCTCCAGAAATTGATATACCTATCTCTATCACAACGCATGAGAGCTTCCATTTAGAACAGTGCACACCACAATCAACAAGACTGAAGCATGTACGTGCCAATACTGAAAGCCACACTTGTTAGGTGTTCCAGAAATACACAGAAAGGTCTGATACATCATTGGACCAATGTGACAGTTAGTTAACAGCTGAAGCCCATAGTCATTGATTGGCTCCAAGTCTGTCTCTTTAGTCAGGAAACCTATCACAGTGCTGATGTACCTGAGATGTCAGTTAAGGTAGTCTGACTTTGAGAGGCCAATCTACTAAGAAGTTCATTGTTTTTTGTTTGTTTTTTTGTAAATATAATTTTTATTGTTTTGTCTTATGATAATTTGTCATCGCAAAAAATTGAGACTCGCAGGTCTCATAGGTATTTCAAACAGGAAGGTATCAAACATAAATGCAAGGGTTAGACACGCAGGTCTACGAACTTGTCAATGGTTAGGATACTCACAGTTCCCAAGTCATACTGCAAGCAATCATTATGATAGGGGTTCACTGGTGGAACTAGAGAGCCAGTGCCGTAGAAGTATAATATATGCAAGAACCTTTGGTCCACCTAGTGTGTGTTCCAGGCCTATATTGTGTGTTATAAACCTCTTATCTGTTCTGGTATATTGTGCGTGGGGGGTTATCAGAGTCAGAAGGCTTTACTGGAGCATTTGATTTAGTGTTGCATCATCAGTATATCCGTGTATGGCGGGCCTCCGTCAATGTTGTTATCAATCCGGTATCCTTGTCTCCCGGTATGCAGCAAGTATCCTAGCATTAATCTGTCACCGCCCTCCTAGGTGTGTGGGACTCCTATGTTATGTGATCTGCTTGTCTACTACTGCGAAATTGTGATCTCTTAAGTGTGCATTGCTACCCCATGCTCTCAGTGTGATCGAGTGTCTTACAGGTGGGGCTAGTGGTTAAATAGTATCCTGCCGGAGGCGCTCATCTCTCCACCTATCCCGATCCACCCGCCGCTGAAAGTCTAGAGTTAGGTATCCAGAGTCCATAGCCTGGGTTTCCAGAGGGGTCAAGGTTGGGGAGAGAGAGTTTCAAGTAGGAATGTACAAAGGTGAGGAGGAAATTAAGAGCACATCTTAGTGGGGACTGCAGCGCGCATGTGCCCCCCACTTACCACAGTATTGTGCCTTGATTCTCAAGTTGTCCTTGTGTGTGCCAGGTATACATACCATGGTCTCCATTGTTCAGCGCGTTTGGTGCTCCATCCCAGCATGTCTGCATATTTCACTTCTGCTGTTTGAATCTCTTCTACCCTTAGTAACCATTGTTCCATGTTGGGTGGTTGGATTTGCTTCCACAGGGCAGGAATCAATGACCTACCTGTGTTGAGAAGGTGTCTCAGGATTGATTTTTTTGTATTGAGCAATAGATCGGTCTGTGAAGTGGAGGAGCACGGTTTTGATGTTGAGATCTTGTAGATCGCCCAAGATGTTGGCCAGTTCCAGTTTGATCCCATCCCAGTATGCTCTGATCTTAGTACAGTCCCACCAGATGTGTCGTAGGGTGTCTATCTGTGATTCGCATCTCCAGCACGTATCAGAGACCTCTGGTAATATTCTGTGCAATAACGAGGGCATACGGTACCAGTGAAAGATCAACTTAAAGTTGACTTCCTGCTGCCTGGAAGGAAGTTCATAGTTATCATCAGGGTTAGTTATGGTTGATTTTGAATAGCTATCGTTAGGGTTTCTTTGGATAAGGGTTATGTAGGGTTAGTTAGGATTAGGGCTAGTTAGTGTTATCTAGGGTTTGATAGGGATAGGGCTAATTATATTTATGTTTAGCTAGGGTTGGGTAAAGCTAGGGCTAAGGTTAAAGAAGTGTAGGATTGGATATTACTAGGGTTATACAGAGTTAAATATATCGTCAAAGTTTGACACTAATCAGTATGATGACTCAGATTGTGTCACTTTATCAAATAGCATCTCTGGGAAGCAAGAAGAGAGGCATGTCAATTACAATGTGTCTGCAATCTGATCCTATAATCTGAGTTTTGAATTATTAATACACACAGGGCCTGAGAAATTCACCATCAAAGTTTCGTGTGTATATAGAAATTTTAAAATTACAATTTACAGCAAAAAGCCAGCAAAATCCCCCAGACATTGAAGATGAAATTGCCAAGTGAAAAGATACTCTAAATGCCAAATATTATTAACCAAAGTTGGCTTCTTTTAAAAATGGTATGCTACCGGAGTTGTAGGCTGTAATTTTTTTCCAGAAATGACATGGGCCGAAGTAGTCAATCAGTGAAAACTGGAAATTTCAAAATCAAAATTAGTCTGTAACAGTAACTGGTCGTGTTAGTAATTTAACTCTATAACCTCACAAATCTGACAAAATTCAACATGGTGCAATTGTTGTACTCAATGACAGTATAATATATATTTGGTATCTTTACAGTAGTGGGATTCACATGGTTTGTGAATTTTCCCATAAAAATAAAACATGCATGCAAACAAAACAAACAAACAAACAAACAAACAAACAAACAAACATGAATTAGATATAACCAGACGATATGGCAAAGGTTGTTATTTTGTTATCCTTACATATAGAGTATCAGTAGAAATCTTATCTGAACTATATGCTTATCACATGTAAAGGTGCACTTAAAGTGACAGCTGGAAAGCACAGTGGAAAAAAAAATACATTTAAAAGGTGTCAAAAATGCCTCATGTACAAACCTATTGATTGTTAGAAAAGCATCAGTCACTAAAGGGTTAAGACTAAAATAGTTGAGATGAAAAAAAGCTGTCTAGAAATTTGTTTCCTTTTCATCCAAGCTATCCCAAAGTTTGCAATACTCTGGTGAATTCTCAAAAATTTTCATCAAGTCATTTAATGAATGACCATAAATATGGAGAAGAAAGAACAATTATTAACACTGCATGTACACATGTACAGTTAAAGAGACACATGCTGTTTTATTTTTCCCAAATATCCAATCCTGAACCGAGGTCCATTTAGTGGTTATTGGCAAGGCAGACTGTATGGAATATCATATAGCAAGTTTTCAGGAAGTGAACACAAAATAACCAATGATGCAGTTTAAATTTCACCAAAACTCATCATGTACACAATAAAAATGTGCAAATTATTACCAACAAATATAAAGCAGATGACAACGGCTTTAAAAATTCCTAAAGCAATATAATAGAAAAAGTATAGTATCAGGTGCCAGGAAAATAGGGAGTTCCCACAAGCACATAAAGCAAATGTTTCTAGTACTTTAGCTAATTGCTCAATACATATATATAAATGAATGTGTGCATGTATATATAATATTTTTTAATAAAAAATGTTACTAAAGTTACACAATTAAAATACAAGTTATAAAATTAAATTCCATTGTTCAGATTTTATTTTACACGGATGGGGATTATGATGAGAGACGTGCATTGTTTAGAACTCTTATGTTATTTAAAACCGTTCACAAGGAAACCGTACTCCAGAATAAATTAATTATATCGTCATGGATTACAATGTTTATAGCACAGATAACAGTTTATAGAAATCTTCAGCTTGTCATTGTGTCCCGAGAGACACTTAATCTTGTAACTTCTGTTTGTTGCAATCATATTAAAACAGTTACATTGGATTTTATATCACATTTATGCAGGAATATAAAAAAAGATGACAGAAAGTCTGTCGTTTTAAATGGAGTAGCGTGATTTCCAGTAAATGTTACCGAAGCTATAGATTCCTAACATGCATTCACATCACTAGATCAGGTTTTACTATGTATCAAATTATCCGCAGATAGTGAGTCGAGTCTTCCCATATCTCGATTTAGATCAGCAGAAAATCGCACAGAGACCTGTGATATGATTTGCGATTGAATGATAAATATAGAGTTCCATAAATAATATACTCTTGCGTGCAAATGAATATATTCATATTCAAAGAACCTATTTAAGAAACAGCTTAATCAACACTCCATAGACATGAAGGCTAACCAACGTGTTGACTAAGTGAAAGGGAGCTATTCTGGGTAGCAGATGTATGTTATAGATCATTTTCCATACGCGTTTAGAAAAAGAGTCTTATACTATCTCATACATGTAGCATTAGATTGTTAATCTGTACAACTATATTGCTATTCAAATGATACATTTTATACATTGTTCAATGTACATTACATACAATGCATATATTGTATAAAATGGATATGTTACTTTAATTTATTGAACTTTTTGATGACTGATGAACTGAACGGTTCAGTTTACTATTTCTTGGGTTTCTTTCTGGAGGTGGGGAGTGGAGACTTTTATTAGTATTTGCAAATGTAAAAAAAAATCTGTATGCATAATCCATATACATAATGCACTATTAATATAAAATACCAAATATAATACAAGAGCATTAAATGTTTTATTTTCCAAAATTAAACACTGGTATTTAAAGAGTTCACTTTAAATAGTAAAGGCATGCTTTATAGCATAGTACTTTTTTTATTACAACATCAACATGTTTAATTCATTCATTTTTTTAAGGCCCGTTTTATATAAGTTATTGCGGAAGAAAAACTATTTCCGTGTTGTGGAAGACCCCATGGGAGAGCACCGATTCAATGTTTTCCTATGAAGTAGTTTGGACGTACATCTGGCACTTGCTGTGCTTGTGCATCGCATCCCAAATGCTCCTCTTTGAGATGCATTGGATTGGATATCAGTGGAGAAGGCCATATCTCCAGAGTTGGATACATAACTGCTGTATACTTAGCATTAAAGACTGTTCTATGTGCACGAGCTGTCAGTAAGCTGCAACAGCTGATCTTAAAGGAAATACTTTCTGTTATCAGAGTTAGACCTTACTCTGCTTATTGAACAGCAATTCTTCCATTGATGTCTATGGGGAAATTGCTGTCCAGTAAGCAGTGAAACCCTTACTCTACTATAAGATTCCAGCCCATAGTGCTTTAACTAATTAACATATATTTGAATGATTTATTTAGATTGTAAGCTCTTGTGGGCATGGCCTTCTTCAACTGTTGTTCCCGTATTTCATATATTTTTTGTTAGGATTCAATATTCTCGTTTCGTTGTACAGCGCTGCTGAATATGTTGGTGCTGTACAAGTAATTGTAATTATTTTTTTAAGGATTGAGGATGTATTTGCACCCCTCTGCTGACAGCAGCCATCTAGTTCTGTCTAGTACAGTGATTTTACACGGCTCCTTTATTCAGATAAATCTGCTGTTTGTCCATACCGGTGAGCAGGAAATGTAACAGCATGTTTCCACTTGGAATAGTGACTGGTCCAGATTTGTTTTGGAAGAACCTGAACATATTTTGAATCTGTTTCTACTCTCCTGGCAAGTGCTGCATCTTCTGTCTCCTGTGCTACTGCTTCTGTGCAAACTGGGAGTATGAATGATTGAAATGTGATTGGTCAATGGCAGAAGGAATAAATAACTGCAGGAAGGAGAAATACTTTAACAGGCACAATGGGACACCACAAGATATAAATAGAGTAGAAAAATAAGGTGTGCTGATGGAAAAGAAAACTCTCCTGTGTATTTATTAAAAGCATATGTGAATGACTTTAATGACGATAGTTGGCTTTTTTTTAAAATACGGCGTGCTGGATTCTCTTAACAGAGTTAGGGTTTACTCTTCGTACTGAGTAGCAATTCCTCCATTTCTTCAATTCCTCCATGGTCCAAGTCTAAGGAAAAAGTGCTGATCAGTAAACAGAGTAAACCAACATTCTGCTAGGGGAATCCAGCATTATCGGCTTAAGAATATTGTAAATAGGAGTAAACACGAACACAAATGTTTCTTATTTAATATTAAAAAAAATCAAAATCATAAAAATTCAAAAGCACCTCTATTAGAGTTATGTAAGAATTTAAGGTCAAAGTACACAACACATATATATACATATACATGTCACGTTATTGTACATTCTGGAATCTTGAGGAAGACCCTCAAGGGTCGAAACGTCGATCGATTTTCAGATGTAATTGTTTATTTTTTTATTAAATCACCATCTAGGTTTAGTAAAGTGCACTGTGAGTGCACTCTTAATATTATTTGTATACATTTTTATATATATATATATATATATATATATTCACCATGAGCCCGGCACTCACTCTCCCGTCTTGTTCCTTGCCTCGGTACAAATTCCAAACCAAGTATTAATCTGCACTGCACTCCAGAGGGCTTTGAAAAAGTTTAAGAAAAGTTTTTTTTGTGTCCAATCACATATGTCAATGATTCAGTCCTCACACCAAGACTTTTGTTAAGACCATCTTGATATATATATATATTCAAACTGCTTCTCAAGAATTTTTTTTTATCACAATACTAGACTTGCAGAACTATAAAAATCAAAAAAAAAAAAATATAAATATCATTGTCTTAATATGATGTCATTGTTACAAGACAAATAATCGTAATATATTATATTTTGTGTACATTTTTATAGATACATGAATATTAAAATATATGGTTAAAAGAAAGTTCACCAAATCACAACATCATGTTTCAAATATCAACAATTATAAAAGAATGTATAGGCATGAATTGTGTTGATAATGGAGTGGGATAGGTTGGTCTGAGGATGGAAAAAAGAAGAGGTGAAGCAATTAATGAAAAGAAGCTTGGTGCTGCGTGTGAGGATGGCATCAGTTTAGGATTTGGTATAATAACACTAGTAGAATTGATTGGGGCATCCAGTATGATTAGGCGAGTGACACCTCATGTTTATTGCGATTCAACTTCCTTCAACGCACTGTGCTAGGCCAGTGGCTCACAACCTTCTAAGCACGGATACAAATAATGTATATGCCATTAGATTTATGATCCATTCTTCAAATCTTACAGTTTCAATATTTGAACAAATAAGTTTAACTGACAAGTTTAATTTACTGGAACAAGATAAAGTGAGGGCCCTCTAAACATCAGCTGTAAAAATAAATTGTAAAAAAGTAAGATTTTTTACAATTTATTTATTTATTATTATTATTATTATTATTATTATGATATTTATAGAGCGCCGTCAAATTCCGCAGCGCTTTACAATGGGTGGACGAACAGACATGTAGTTGTAACTAGACAAGTTGGACACACAGGAACAGAGGGGTTGAGGGCCCTGCTCAATGAGCTTACATGCTAGAGGGAGTGGGGTAAAATGACACAAAAAGGTAAGGATAGTATTAAACTAATGACTATTTTATTCTTAGAAAACACACCAAATCAAAGGATGTAAGGAAATAGAAGCTCTAATGGCTGTTTGTCTGACAGCCATGAGAGGCGTGATGTAACCATTACAGTTTTTCAGAAGGGGGAATATTTTTTATTGTCCAAGAAAAGAGACAATTTTGCATTGAGATACCTTGGTTTTGGTGCTAAGATTGCTCCTTTATATTTCTATATATTACATTCAAGCACACTACTAAATAGCTCTTTGAGTAGTAGACTCAAACAAACAATGTATTGTAAACTGTAGTCTGGTGCCTAGATGAATATTCCATGTATGTCTCAACCAACAAGGACCTACCCAAGTAGCTTGGGGACAATTTTTGTGCTTCCTGTAATTCTTGGCATTGTATAGCTAAAAGGTATTTTACTTTGGCAATGCAAAGCTCATTGGCACCAGGAATTACTCAAATATGGCTGCCAGATATTGAAATAAAAGGCTATGCATATTACTTCTCACAAATTCTAAATGTGAGATGCATTTTTAGATATAATGCTTTTATATGAGAGCAGGTGGCTGCATGCTCTCTTGGACAATATCCAGTTTCCAGGTAAGTCTGTTTGATCTATACATTTGCTAACAGTTTTGCCAGCACAATGTATGGTTGATATGTAAGTGCAAAACACGGTGACAACAGAGTCCATTAAATAATTTGAAATAATTAAATAATAATTGAAAATAATTAAATAAATAATTGTTCGGTTAAATATATGGTTTACACGGTTAGCGTAAATATATGGTTTACACGGCTAACAATTTTATTTTGTATTTTTCCAAGGTTAAAGTTTGGTTTCAAAACCGTAGAATGAAATGGAAACGCGTGAAAGGAGGTCAACAAGGAGCAGCCGCACGAGAAAAGGAACTGGTAAATGTTAAAAAAGGAACTCTTCTTCCATCAGAGCTCTCTGGAATTGGAGCAACTGGCCTTCAACACACAGCTGATTCATTAGCCAATGACGATAGTCAAGATAGTGACGAAAGCTCAGAACATGCACATTTGTGATTCCGGAAAGACTATCAACCAGTTTTATTCTCAGGAAAGAAGTGCTTCAAGGCAAGATTTTCTCCAAAAAAAAAATGTTTTTTGTTCATCAATGTTTTGGGGAACTAATCTTTTTATATTTTATTTTTTTAAATAAAAGATTTTTCCATTTGTGTTAACCCTTCGATTTTCAGGAGAACTCACTGTTCCTGGCGCTCAAAGGGTTAGAAGTGAGTAAGTAATTATGATGCCGAGGAAAAAAACTGGTTTGGATTGGAACATTCCGATATTTTCGATAAAGAACTCGATTACTAGGGCAGGTATATTTGCTTTAGCTTGCACTGACATTTACTTAAAGTCAACACAGTTTTGATCCTTCATTGAATGAAAGCAGTGCCGAATTTCACTAATAAACCAATAAATATAGTGTTAGCTCTGTAAATATTACGATATCCCTGTCTTCATTACTTCTGCAATGCATCCATGTATGAAGTTGTCATTGAAAAAAAAAAACAACAAAAATACACTCGCTTAGTTTCTTTTATTCTTTTTCATTTAAATAACATGACAGTATTGCACATGGGATTAAAGTTTAACCCTTTGAGAATCAGTGGATGGAGAGATCTCAGTCCTCTGGCACTCAATAGGTTACTGATCACTGATGATGCAACATTCTATTCTCTACTCTTAAAGGTCCAATAGGTTCAATGCAAATGACTGTGATATATATGGAATCTGTAATACGTATCACCATCATTTTCTATATCATAACAACTATTGGTCATGACATTAAATTATAGACTGTAAAGGCTGTTCATTATGTGTGTATATCATAACATTAGACAATGTGTCAAACTTCATGACTGCCACAGTTTTACAGATTTCAAGATCCCATCTCTTTTAGAAATCACAACGTTTTTTCCCACAGATATTACAACTTTCAACACACCTGAGTGGTTTAAACTTGGTATCTCATTTATATCAGAAAAAATATTGTACTATCTAAAGGAATATATTTATATATATATATATATATATATATATATATATATATATATATATATATATATATATATATATATATATATATATATATATATGTACATGTGTATATATATATATATATATATATATATATATATATAAATATTCCTTTAGATAGTACAAGATTTTTTATATATTTAAAATTCCTGTTCATTTACATAACAACGTAGAAGGAAAAAGTAACAATACATTATCTGTACTTTGTAAATATGATCAATAAAAAAATCATTTTTAACAATAACACAAATATTGTGGATGTTTATTCTGGAAATGTATTGACTCTGAGATTATTAATACTAAATTCCACATCTATTTCAATTCAGTTGTATTTATGATGACAGAATACATTGTTTGTCTAAACTATACTATGTCATTGAACTTTCACTATGATCAACTTTAGAGAAACTTGCAAGAAGATCTAGGTTACGGTACTAAACAAATCACCTCTATAATTGTATAAAAACATTTGTTAATTAAAAAACACAATAGAAAAACAAAAGAGAAATGTATGGTTCTTAAACATCCAGCTTTGAAGTTACAGACACTCCTCACACACTGACCTGGTTCCGTTCTTATGACTCGGTCGTAAAAATAATTGGTTGGTGAGGATGCGATACAGAAAATGCGCACCAATGCTGTTCTATGTTAAGGGAAATTCACCAAACATAGATTAGAGGTATTCCCAGATCTGGTGTGTTTGTCTGTGTTCGGGGACATTTCCCTGAACATAGCCCAGCTCTCTAATGTGTGGAATTCCTGTAGTCCCCGCGGCATAAAGCTGGTCGTAAGTACAAGTTATCATTAAGCAGGTCAGTCGTAAAGTGAGGACTACCTGCACTATTGTTATAATGTGGTTATATTAGACAATTTTAGTTTCATAATATACAAAATTCTATGAACTCATTGTTACATGTTTTTTCTATCACAGCATTGTGAGTCAATTTTTTTGCTTTTTTTTAGAATCATGCTCTCCTTTGTCTTTTTGCTAAAGTTTATAGTCTTTAATTTTCACAATGATTAATGATCTGACTTTACCACTTATGAACTAACTTCATAGTTTCAGATCTTTTTTAAGTTGACCAATGACATAACCTTAGGTAAGTTACCACAAACTTTACGGTGTTCTGTTGTCATTCTGATCAATGAAATAACATTGAGTAACTTGAGTATCTACAGGTAAAAGTGCATTGCAGGTCAAGAAATCCCTTCTGCTACAAATAAACTGATTGCTCAGGATTTATTTGCCAATTAGAAGTGCATTGCAAGAACTTGGAAGTTATTAATTCTCCTGATTTATGAAGCACCCCTGAGTTCATCTGCAACAAATATTATATACATAGCATTTCATACTTTACTAATTTGGATGAAGTCTGGAATCAATGGTGCATCTATCACAGGCATAAACAAAGAGTTGTTTTCTTGACTTTCTGTTTCTGTTTGTCATTGTCTGTTATGTTCCCTTTCTATTCCATCAGATATCAATACATGCGTATCTAGCTGAACAATCCATATTTTGTACTGGCACACGCTATAAAAAGGCAGCAGAGATAATTTTTTAATATTTTTGTTCAACTACCATTTGAGTAATTAATATTTTGTCTGAAAATGCAATAAATTCTGTTACCAAAAATCTATATATTATATCTACCTGCCATATGATGCTACCGCAGGTAGGTGAATCCTTAGTTTATGTGACAATAATTTGGTCTTGACACTGTGTTCCCAGTCCTTTCTGTGTGAGGCCCCGCAGTATCAGTTTACTTTTAAATATACACTGCTCCAAAAAATAAAGGGAACACAAAAATAACATCCTAGATCTGAATGAATTAAATATTCTTCTGAAATACTTTCTTTACATAGTTGAATGTGCTGACAACAAAATCACACAAAAATTAAAAAATGGAAATAAAATTTTTTCAACCCACGGAGGTCTGGATTTGGAGTCACACTCAAAATTAAAGTGGAAAAACACACTACAGGCTGATCCAACTTTGGTGTAATGTCCTTAAAAAAAGTCAAAATGAGGCTCAGTAGTGTGTGTGGCCTCCACGTGTTTGTATGACCTCCCTACAATGCCTGTGCATTCTCCTGATGAGGTGGCGGATGGTCTCCTGAGGGATCTCCTCCCAGACCTGGACTAAAGCATCTGCCAACTCCTGGACAGTCTATAGTGCAATAGTGGATGGAGAAAGACATGATGTCCCAGATGTGCTCAATTGGATTCAGGTCTGGGGAACGGACGGACCAGTCCATAGCATCAATGCCTTCGTCTTGCAGGAACTGCTGACACACTCCAGCTACATGAGGTCTAGCATTGTCTTGCATTAGGAGGAACCCAAGGCCAACCGCACCAGCATATGGTCTCACAAGGGGTCTAAGGATCTCACCTCGGTACCTAATGGCAGTCAGGCTACATCTGGTGAGCACATGGAGCTGTGCGGCCCCCCAAAGAAATGCCACCCCACACCATTACTGACCCACTGCCAAACCGGTTATGCTGGAGGATGTTGCAGGCAGCAGAACATTCTCCACCGCGTCTCCAGACTCTGTCACATCTGTCACATGTGCTCAGTGTGAACCTGCTTTCATCTGTGAAGAGCACAGGGCGCTAGTGGCAAATTTGCCAATCTTGGTGTTCTCTGGCAAATGCCAAACGTCCTACATGGTGTTGGGCTGTAAGCACAACCCCCACCTGTGGATGTCGGGCCCTCATACCACCCTCATGGAGTCTGTTTCTGACCATTTGAGCAGACACATGCACATTTGTGGCCTGCTGGAGGTAATATTGCAGGGTTCTGGCAGTGCTCCTCCTGTTCCTCCTTGCACAAAGGCAGAGGTAGCGGTCCTGCTGCTGGGCTGTTGTCCTCCTACGGCCTCCTCCATGTCTCCTGATGTACTGGCCTTTCTGCTGGTAGCGCCTTCATGCTCTGCACACTACGCTGACAGACACAGTAAACCTTCTTGCCACAGCTCGCATTGATGTGCCATCCTGGATGAGCTGCACTACCTGAGCCACTTGTGTGGGTTGTAGACTCAGTCTCATGCTACCACTAGCACCTCCAGCATTCAAAAGTGACCAAAACACCAGCCAGGATGCATAGGAACTGAGAAGTGGTCTGTGGTCACCACCTGCAAGACTTTTATTGGGGGTGTCTTGCTAATTGCCTATAATTTCCACCTGTTGTCTATCCCATTTGCACAACTGCATGTGAAAATTGATTGTCACTCAGTGTTGCTTCCTAAGTGGACAGTTTGATTTCACAGAAGTGTGATTGACTTGGAGTTACAATGTGTTGTTTAAGTGTTCCCTTTATTTTAAAAGTCATTATTGACATTTTAGATCGCATGTAACCTTCTTGCATAAACAGCAGTATTGATTAAGGGGAATGTCTACTGTGCATTCAGATAGAAATCAGTTTGAGGTGGTATCAAGTTCTAGATTTTAAGAGCATTGTTCTATATTATATATATATATATATATATATACTGTATGCAGGTATATTGAATATCATGTAAAAGAATACAGTTTAAGAATAATCAGTACTGAGATTTATGCCTATGAATATCAGTATTCTAGAACTGGTAGAAAACATGATCAAGCAAAAATACTGACTGGTGGTATATAGTGAATGAATCGGGATAATGTATTACAGTGAATGTGTTACACTGAAGATACCTGTGCGCTTAACGGGAGGTAGAATCACGTAAGTTATTTATATACAGTATAATGTAAAATGTCTTGAAGCTTTTCTTAAATATAGTGATTCCTAGCTTGTTTTATAATAAGGCTTCTTTTTTAACCAAAATTTCGGTACACCCCCATATTTTAATATTTTTTGTCTTTTTTTTTTTGTAGTGTATTATATATGTAGTGAAGAGGTATTGTATTCAGTCCATTGATCATTTAAACAAGACACGTTTACTTTACACATTGCTTGCATACAGATGAACCCCAACCTCCTAAGAATCTATATTTCACATATTAACCCTCCCCCACCCCAGAATACATTCCTGTTTAGAAATCACAAACAGAGTAAATACCATTTTTGCTAACCTGACAAACACTGTACCAATACAGAAACATATTTTTTGAGAAGCAAATTCCCAATTCCATTTATAAACATACACACATTCTTAATTGCATTGGACTACACAAACTGAATCAATCCTCAATAGAAACCATAGCATATTGGAGTCCCACGTTTTCTAGATTTAAATGCAATAAAAAGACCTGTAGCTTCAGCTTCCTTAACCTCTTTGTTGAAGCCCCGAGTAAACCCTAAATAGTTTCACCAGCATATTATGAATGTAAGTAGTAAAATATGTTACCTTTAGCATAGCTACTAATATATATCTGTTTCAACAAAATGTCTTGTAGATTATTGTTTTAATTTTAATAACTTTAATTAGCCATGCTGCATCAGCGTGGTTATTATCTAAGAATGATATTTTTTTTTTTCTAAGAAGCAGTTAGTGAATAAAAAGACTAAAACAAAATTGATTAGACCACGTACTGCGACTCATTTTGGGGTTTCTTGGCATGAGCTGGTAAGTTACCAGAATCCAGCTGTGTGAATAACAGGAAAGGCAGCATTTCAAATGTCTACTGGTGGCAATAATTTCACCATTGCCCAAGGAAAAACCAGAGGAAAATTTTAGGTTATGTCTTCTTTTTTATTGCTGTTGATGAACAAATTGAAATGACTAACACAGGGTACAGACCGTATTTAAATTGCTATCCATTATTACCCTAGGGTCACTGTGATTTAAACCAGAAAACATCATTTTCATTAGCAGGGTCAGTCACTAAAGTTGAGAAATATGGGGAATTTAAAATTAATTCAAAATAAATTTAACATTTTAGGCCAAAAAGTAAAAAAAAAAAAAAATAGAAAAGATTGGCAAGTCGACTACGCTCCTTATTTGACGATTTTGAAATTTAATTTGAAATTCACTTTCAATTCT